CTTAGATTAAATATAGAACTTGGATACATAGTTTGAAGAAGAGAACAACGAGTACAGCAGTAAGCCACTATTATAAGAAAAAATGCATAAAGACAGTGTTTAAAAGTTTAACAAACGTGCCATCTTGTCTAAAGTGAAATTCCAAAAGATTTCTCGAAAAAAATCAGGAGATTCTGAATTTTTTAAAAAAAAATTAAATGTGTGGCATTGTTTTAATCAATAATTGGTAGTTGCAATTTAAATAAATTACGTACATTCTCTTTAAATAAAAACATTTATAAATGTGTACTAAATAAAAGCACCTATAAGCTTATTGATTCTAATTAGTGTAATAATATGTGTAAGTAGTAATACATACATAAGTTAGTGATTAGCTCTCTCATTTGTTGTTGAAATGTTTTTGAATATAAAACTTTGATTAGAAAACTTTTTCCCAATTTGAAGAGAAAATTCAATATTTTGTTAAAATTTGAAATTGGATAAAATAATTTTTCATTTAAATGTTCAATATTTAAATAATAACTAAATAATAATTTTAATAATTAAAAGAAAATACAGTGGGCAGTGCAGCTTAACATTTTTGCTGTAAGAAAATCCGTATATGATCACTAAATATACCATTTAGTTAGTTGAATTGTTGATTTAATTGAATTGACATTTAATTGAAATTGAACAAATGTTAATTGAAATTGAATTGGCAATTCAACAAGTATTTATAATTAAAATTTTTATTCATTTTGTTTTTAAATAAAATGAGTAAGACAAATATAAATCATTACAAGATTTATCACAGCATTTGCTAATAATATTAGGGCCCCTGCTTTGACATTTTATTTTAAAATCCTATGAATATGAAATTATTGAGTTTCATAAATTAACTCAAGAGCTATTAGTATAAATTTAGTATCATTATAAGAAGTCCTTAAAAATAATTGTTGGACAGTCTTTCTATTATAAACATCGCAATTTTACAATTGCAATTAACTCGTTGTTAAATCAAAGATATATAAGATAACATATAATATATAATAATCAAAGATAATTATAGACTCAAATTTGAAAGGACGAAGCTCTGCATTATAGACTGTCCTAAACCAACGTGGAACAAAAATTAGTGAACAATCTTCTATACGTTCAAGGATTGCATGCTGATCTATAAATAGATCAGCATACTAACATTATCACTTTCCATGAACATGAATAGCAGAGTTGGCACGTCTGGTTGTAATATAATTGGAAAGGATGGACACAATTATCACTTTCTAAATATCAAACTTCTAAAAAATTCACAATCCTCGAAAGATTCCATAGCTTTTTATTATTAGATGTATAAAAAAATACCTCCCTCTCAGCAATACCACCCGCCCAGAACAGCAGCAGGAGCTGCAGATTATCACAACATCTGCAGAATATTTTAGCTACGGGATAAAAGAGGGAAAGAAATAAAAAATTAAAAAGGCAAACAATTTCATCCTCATTAGGGACAATAGGGTGCATAGCTAAAGTTTTCAACAAAAAATAAGCACCTTTTAAGCACTTGAAATAGGATAAGCACACTAAAGAAGAAGAAAAATTTCTATCGTTGAAAGTTTGTATTGATTAACAAAATGCAAAATAATTTTCAAATGATTCATATGATCATGATAAAATAACGTTTCTGACAAAGAACTCTTTTCTTGATTATATTGGCCATTATAAAATGATNATAACATGCAGTTAGATACTCATATTTTATAAAAAATGTACATTTATTTGTGGATTTGCCAACAATATATTCTTTCACACTACACATAAAAACAGCATTTATTTTTATCTGTTACAGAACAGTTGAATTTGAAACTTTAATTTCTTTTCTCAGTTCTAATTTGCAGCTGCTTAGTTTAGGCATTAAAAAAATAAATATTGCAATTTAATTCCATTTTATTTAGTTTATTTTTCATAACTGACACATTTCCAAATTTTAATGCTTATCAAAAAAATTACGATCACAACTCGACAAAACGAATATCACCATGTACCTTTTTTTCTATTCTAAATAGCTTTAAAAAAATTAACCACACATTTTGCGTAATTAAAGACAATTTTTCTAATTTTGCTACTTCGTTCAAATTAAAAGATAGGAAGAAACTTAATCCTCAGAGATATTACATTAGCTTTCTAAAGCAGGAGGAGCATTCACGTAGTGCGAATTCCAATTCCATCAGTCTGATTGGTTAAATATGTCTGTCATGCTTTTGACATCAAACAGTGAGAAATAATAAAGTTAGGATAAAGCGAAAGCGCGGTAAAAAAAAAAAGTGGGGGAAGGGGGAAACTCATGAAGCTATTCCTCATTTTAGTCGTTTTGGCTTTAAAAAGTCGCCGATTTTACGCAAATAATTGCAAATTAGTTGGTTTTACTCATATTTCTACTAAAATAGTCGCCATAGTTGCTATTGCTTTAAAATAGTCGTTTTAGTCGCCTTTTTAGTCTCCAATGGCAGCCCTGCAGGGTAACCAAAGTTTTCAACAAAAATCTAGCACTTGAAATAGGACACTAAAGAAAAAAAAATTTCCTATAGTTGAAAGTTTATATTCATTAACAAAATGCTAAATAATTTTCAAAGACTTTACATGATCATGATAAAATAACTCGTTTCTGACAAAGAACTCCTTTTTTTATTATATTAGCCCCCATAAAAATAATTTATACACAATTTAAATATTATTTAATATTGAGTAGCTTATTCTATTTTTTAAATTAATAATTATTTCATTTAACTATGCAAAAAAAATTATTCAAAATTATAATTGATTAAACTATTATTTAAAAAGACTATCCAGTGTATTTTTAGATTTAAATAAAAGTTACTTATAAAAGCATATTCAACAATACATTAACAAGATTAATATTATTGATCATACTGAATTTATAAAGATATGTAAAGAGTTAAGCAAATGAAGAAAACAGAGAAAATTCGAGAGATTCGATTTTAGAGGACGGAAAATGAAGCCTGAAATTGAAAATCACTAGCAAAATGCAGCAGAGTTACATATGAGAGTGCAAGAAGTCTTCCCATTGAATCCAGCTCAGTATACGCACATGCGGACCCGCAAGTATTTAATCCAATATGTAAAATGATTGGAGCTTTCATACACTACGGGCCGACGGTACGTCGAAATGCATTGTGATTGAATGAATTTTGAAAACACTGTATACAATGTGAAAACCACGCTTTTCGCCCAATTCGTAGAAAAATTAACAACACGGTAAAGAACAAATTTCATTTCAAAAAATTGAAAATTAAGCACTTTTCAAAAACACGTAATGAAAAAGCACCTTTAAGGGCTTTTAAAAAGCAAAAATAAGCAACTTTAAGCACGTCTTAAATATACTACGCACCCTGGACAAGCTTTCCTGTTTGAAATCAGACAAAAAATATTTATTAAATAGCCATTAAAACAACAGATAAAAACTATTATTTTCATTATTGCAAAGTTTAGTTAAACTCTCCTAAAACTTATAAAATATAAACTTAAACTAGTAATCTAACGGTATATAGCTAAAGAGATATAGATATTTGATTTTCAAAATTAATTTTGTTAACTGATTGCAGGGCTGCCACTGGATGAAAACAAGAAAAATAGTTGCTTTAGTTGCATCATATATGAAAAAAAGTCCCCTTAATAGTCTCCAAGATATATAAAATAGTTGCTAACATCATATCCTCCTCTAACACAATTTTAATTATTTGTGCTGTAATAGTATAAAATTCAAATAATATGCAGTTAGATACTCATATTTATAAAAAATGTACATTTATTTGTGGATTTGCCAACAATATATAGATAGAGGAATGCTTAGGGAACTGCTGTAGAATTTTTAAACATTTTAAAAATATCTATTTTTAGTTTTACTCTTTATGAGGCATAAAGCTTCAGATATCATATAAGAAACAATAGTTGTAAATAAAGAAAAAACATTTGGAAAAAAAAAGCTAGGGACTAAAATTTTAAGCATTATAAAAAAATGAAGTAGAAATGACAATTACTTTCATACATAAATTTTTTTTAACCTTACTATAAAATAAATATTTAATAATAAATAGTAAAATAAAAATTTTAAAAAAACCTTTTTTTCTATTCTAAATCGCTCTAAAAAAATTAACTACACATTTTGTGTAATTAAAGAGAATTTTTTTAATTTTGCTACTTTGCTCAAATTAAAAGACGGGGGAAAACGTAACCCTCAGAGATATTACATTAGCTTTCTGAAGCAGGAGCATTCACGTAGTGCGAATTCAAATTCCATCAGTCTGATTGGTTAAACATGTCTGTCTTGCTTTTGACATCAAACAGTAAGGAAGCATAAAGTTAGGATAAAACGAAAGCGAGGCAAAAAAAAGCGGGGGAAGGGGGAAACTCATGAAGCTATTCTTGATTATAGTCGCTAATTGGCTTAAAAAAAGTCGCCGATTTTATGCAATTCATTGCAAATTAGTAGTTTTTACTCATATTTCTACTAAAATAGTCGCCATAGTAGCTATTGCTTTAAAATAGTCGTTTTAGTCGCCTTTTTAGTCTCCAATGGCGGCCCTGCTGATTGGGATTTAATAAGAAATACAATAAGGTTTTTTTTTTTATTTAATAATTTTGAACATTTTATTACTTAATTTCAGGTCATATCTGAATTTATTCCACTTTTTCAAATTATTATTTTATGAAATTCTAATTAAAATATAAATTAAACCAGATTTATTTGTGTATAAATTTTATCAATCTTACATGTGCAATTTTAGAGCAAAATTAGCATAAGTAAGATTGAATTAAGATATGTAAGGTTGCATGTTAGATAAAGTCCAATTATTACAATAGTCTTTGATTAGCTACCTTGGGATCGCCAAGAAATTAAAATTTTGGAAGATAATGCAGAAGATTCACTGCGTAAATTCTGCTAACTGGTATACCTCCAATAAAAAATAATGATTATCTATCGAGACTTGTGGATTTTTCAGAAGTTAGAAATTTGAGGGGTATAAGTTTATATCTTTTCTAGTGTACGAATATACAGAAGTGCAATATTAAAAGGCTTTAAAAATTTTGTGTATAGTTATATTTTATGGAGGGAAATTTTAATTTATTTCAAACCATTCAGAAATATATTTAAGTGACCTTTATAGTAAAATATATAAAAGAATAACATATGCATATATAAAATATCAGAAACATAAATCCTTTTTTTATAGAATAAATATATTTTATAATAGTTTAAAAAATAAAAGCCTGACAAGATCGTTAAATATATATTTAAAATGAGATATGTATATAAAATTCTCGAAAGGCTCTAGAATAAATGCTTTACAAATTGAGAGCACAAAAACATTGTTAGTGAGATTGTGACAAAGCGAAGAAACATATAGCAAAAGTAAACCATGCCAAATAATTCATCTACAGACCTGCAAAAAATAATAATAAAAAATATATATTATGATATTTTTATTTTAAAATATATAGCAATTGTTAAGAAAAATTAGATGCATATTATAATGAACAAATCGTTTTCATTTATAATTCCACAAACATTGAGTTTTTCATATAATATTTTAATTGGGACTTTAATTAGAACTATTGTTTATTTAACACTTTTGTCTAACATAGTAAACATGCTTAATGACAGAACATAATTATGAATATTTATTCATTTATTGACATTTATATAAAATGAATAATTTAAAGCTATAATCAGAGGTAGAAATTAAGATAATTTAGTTACTTGTTTGAGGATTCAGTATAAATAAAACATAATACAAATCTGCCCTCATATTCATTCTCTTTGACCATTTACATGCCTCTAATTATATTTTTTTGAAAATTAAAAATAAATTTAAAAGAAATTCAGAATACTATGATGCCACAATAGACACAACATATTTCCTCTTCCCATGCTCCTAACTGTTTGTTAAGAACAATTCTCTTACTTTAAATTTGGAACTCTTGGCGATTGGACAAGGAGGGCTTCAGACTCTCAAATTCAACCATTGAATTTATCTTTACAGAAATATTTGTCGATTGACTTGAGAATGATTCTCTTTATCCCTTAGAAGGACTTTATTTTATTAATTCTGAGTATGGCCAAATTCTCTAAATATTAAATCAATTTTTCTCAAATCAATTTGTTAATATTTTTGCGATAAATATCCATTCTTCATAACAAATTCGGATGTATCTCACATGGCCAAACATTATAGTACTTAAATTCAACAAAGAAACTGCCTCTGCTATACAGTAAAGAATTTGGACTAAATCGCCATGAAAAATACAGAAAAGCTGTGATGTCCCAATAATGATAAAATATCCTACTTTGTGAGAAAACCCTGACCAAATCAAGAAATCGAAAATCAAAATACAATCCTTTTACATCAATTGCTGGTCTGTGAGACCACTAATAATTATTTTATGATGGTCTCTGATCAACGGACTATTGTTAATTTCCACCTAAGCTGTAATAAATTATAAAAAGTTTTCAAACACAAATTTTAAAGTATTACAACAAGGAAATATTATTTTATCTAAATAAATAATTCACTCATTAACATACTGAAGTAATTTTCCAAAAATAAACATACTTCTCAAAATTTATGTAATTTAAGTTAGAAATCTAAAAAATAAATTAATAATCCTAGAAAAATCAACATTTTTTACTTTTTATAAAAAATTTGCAATGCAAGTTAGATTAAATTTGACATAAAACACAATGGTTTTAGAGTTATAATTTATACATTTAACACTGGTTAACTTTTGAGTTCGTAGGTTCCTTATAAATTGTTATCATCCCAAACTAATGTTATTTTCCTAAGATAATAGATAACCCACATGAAAAAATTTGAAAATTCCTTAATTAGAAAAGAGTTTATAGCTTTGGAAAATTAAATGGCAATTTATATACCAATACCGATTCATTCAATATTAATTGTAACACAAAGTTAAAGATCCTGGAAATTTCAAATGCGAAAACTCAATATAAAGGTAATAATTCATATACCATACATTTTTCACATTTAATATAATTTTTTGAACTAAGATTTATACTTAAATTGCCAACCAATGTATATAGTAACTAATTTAAGAAAAACTTACTTTCTACACGAATCACGATATTAGATTTTAAAATCACAAGAATTTGAGTTGCAATCAATATTGCATTTTTAAATTGCGTGAATATGAATTGCGATATCGGATTTTAAAAAAGCGAAAATACAAATCGTTATATTGGATTCTAAAAAAGCGAAAATGTAAATTGCGATATTTAATTTTTAATTTGCTTGCAATAATATGAAAAAGAGATGAGATTCTTAAATCATGAAAATTCTAATAACACTGCGTAGCTTTTAAATTATGAATAAATACAAAATTCGATGCTCAATATTACAAACAAGTGATTACGAATCAAAATATCAATACAAGCAATATTGGATTTTAAAAATACATTAATACGAAAAGCGAGGCTGGATTTTGAACTCTCGTGAATAAGAATCGCGATATTGGATTTTTAAAACACATGAATATGAATCCTGATGATTTTAAAAATGTGCAAAAAGAAATTGCAAGAATGATTTTTAAATCTTGTGAATACAAATTGCAGCATGTAACTTATAAATCAGATAAATATGAAAATTGATGTTTGATATTAAAATAGCATGATAATGTATTGCAATATTAGTGGACTCCGGCACGGTTTTAAATTTTCAAAATGGAGAAAATTCGCCAATTAGCGGAAGAATCACATGCTTGTAAATATCTAATCAAAGAATGAAACTGATCTACACAAATTCAAAAAAAGACAAAATAAGTAAATAACATTTAAAATAATAAATCAAAATGGTAAAGCGCTAAAACCAAATTTGTCTTATTTTAATTTAGAAAGTCAGAAACACAATTCTAGCAGAAAACGAATATTTTAAGATATGTGTATTAGCAAAGCAGCACTTCATCTGGGGACGCACTGCCTGCCAACACACAGTATTTTAATTCAAAGTATTTTAAAGACATTCAAATAATTCGTCTGATATTGAAGCCCGCATAAATAGGCCTATGCGGTGAAATTTAGGATTTTTTGTTCCTGAAACATGATGGCAGTACTTTTTTTAAAATTTTTACTCATTAAATGTTTTTTGCTTTATTTTTCAAGATTTTCAAAAGGGGTCAGCACTTGATATATTTCTAAAGTTTTCTTAATGATTTGGCAATTTATATTTCTTTTTATTTGGTTATTCTAATCATAGCTTTATCTTTATTTATTTTTCTTATATGTGGGCGTTTCATTATTAAGTCTTACTGTGTACTTTTAAATAGTGTTTTATGCCATTAATTTTTCATCGAATTTACATTCCAATTTTTCAAATTACTTTTTCTTATTTGTCTATCCATTATGGGGCCTCGGGACACAGTCAGTTTTTGGTATTACCACTGATGACAAAGAGGTTCCTGTGTGTCCCCTGATGAATTTTAAATATCTCGTAAACAGGATTTAAGCGAAAGTTTCAAAATTTTGAGTAGCAGATTGTTGAACTCTGGGAAAATTTAGTCAGATTATAAATTTTCGTTTGAGAGGAAGTTCACGAACCAATGATATGTGGAATTTTGCAAAATTTCACGGAAAAAATCACATGCCTTACTTTCAACTTTGTTGCTGCTAACGTCAGAAAATGGGAAATAGCATTTTTTGTGATAATTTGTAAAAGCTGATATTTTATTTTTCACTAAAAGTACAATAAAAAATAGATAAAAATCAATATGCTATTTTATTATTGAGAATTTCAAACCTACATAGTTAACTATTATTAGAATTCAAAATATAATAAATTATTTAATGACAGAATAATTATTTAGAACACAGTTTACAGTCTTGCCAACCTCACCTAATTAAAAAAGAAGCATTTTCCAGAAACATGGGATAGTGCCATAAATTAAAAATTTTCTAGACAAAAATACAATTATAACCCACATAAATATATTTAGTTCTTTAATTGAACTTGTTTTTAGTCCCTTAATATTAATCTATAATTGTTCTAAAATAATATATATCAGAACACATTCTAGAAATAGAAACGGAGAGACAACTGAAAAGAGTTTTATATTTTCAATAAAGATCACACTTCAGTGAAAAAGGGCAATTTATTCCACAAAGGGCTTGTTTTTAAAAACAAAAGACATTATGTCAAAAGTTTTTCTTTTTTAATTAAAAGTGATGCTGTTTCTTCTAAAAGATGACTCAGATAATATACTACTTGAAGTTTAACAACAGTTAAGAATTGAGGTTTGTAAATGAAACTAAATAACATAGCATTGAAAAAAAATTTAATAAGCATGTGTAATATTTAACAATGTAAACTTACTAGAAGCTCAAGCCACTGGTTCATATTTGGCTTTATCAGCATATTTAGCTAGACAGCATGCCAGTGTTACTCCCAAAAGCTACATTAAAAAGAAAAGATAGTTTAAAATGCAACATAAATCAACTTTTTAAAATATAAAAACAAATGTTTATAATCTAATGTAATTAAAATTTTAATATGATGTTGGTAATTTTTTAATAAAGCAAGAAATACTTTTTCAAAGTAACTTAAAGACAAGTTTCTTATCCAAGTTAAAGACACTTTCATTTTCTAAAAATAGAATTAACTTTGTCTTTTATTTGCTTGAATGTTTTTTTTCCATCATAATAACAAGAAAATAAATATATATTTTAAGACACCTATTAAGTTAATCTAATTTAATTACAAAATAAATTTATATAAAGTATAATATTGAATTGCTCTGCTTAGGAAGCTGCCGTTGAAGTAAAAAATAAATTCTGCGTAACTTGCCAAAATATTAAACATTAAAATTTATAATATTTAAAATCTAAGTATAAAATATAATTATTTTCCAGTTTTTTTACAACAATTAGAAAAATATAGTAAAAAAACAGTATTCAGTGACTATTAACATTAACTATATGCTAAATTTTAAGAACAAAACAATAAGGATATATAACAGATATTCATAGAGCTTTTTAGCTGTTTTCCCATAAAATTCATTGAGTAGAAAGTTTAACTGATTAAATTAAGTAAATTGATTTTTTAAGTATTTACCATTGTCATTTTTTTAAAATAAATCTATAAAATTAAAAGTATACTTTTAAATAGTTATTAAACATGATATTTTCTTATGTCATATATATTATTTTATAAATTACAATTTCAAATTAATCTAATACAAAACTATTTTACTAAACTATATTTCTTATTAACTAATAAGAAATAAAAACAAAAACTTTACAAAAAAAGTTTTAAAACCAATTTAATAACCATTAACTGTGAAAATAAAAGCTTGCTAAAAATTATAGTTTGTCACCTATCGAAAAGGGCATTCTCATTTTTTTTTAACAAAACATAACAAAAATGTTTGAAATATAAATCAATTTCTGTTCAGATTTAGAATATTGTTCCTGCCAAATAAAATTATCTTAAAACTGAGGTGTTTTTTGTAGTTTGAAACAGCAACACAATTGGACGGACAAACTAATGGTAATAGCATAGTTTTAACCACCTAATTACAAAAATTGTAAAAAGACTGACCTTTATAAAACCTCTCTAACTATTAATACAATTTTACATTGTTAGTTAAGTATCATTTTACAAGATTAATAAAAAAAATTGCTTTATATTTACTTTGCTCATAAATATTGAAGTAATTTTGAATTGCAATATTATTCGAATTTTACAGACAACATTTAACAAATGTTAATATCATGAAACACTAAAGAAAATGTAGGAAATCTTCCAGATTATTCTTACTTGGAAAAATGCCAATCCAACTAGGCCACCAAACAAAGCACCCAAATTTCTATTCACAAAGTCAACAACTTTATTATAGCAGCCCTAAATCAAATGAAATTATACATTAGAACACATTCTTTATCACATCATTTAACATTTTCTGCAGAAAGGTATTTTTAACTTTATACTTTCACCAAAAAATTTTAGATTTATGCAAGTTATTTTACAATTAGCAAATGCCATTTTAAGAAATACGTTAAAGGCACAGTAACTAAAACCAAAACAAGAATCACTCTTCGGTCAAGTGCAGATGGTTATAATTTATTTACTCAGTGTTTTCACCACAGCGCGAGAACGCGAGAATCTCGCATATTTTTTTATATTCTCGTATTAAAAAATTATAACCTTGAGAAATTCGCGTATTCTATAAGCCAATTTCGAAATTGCCGAATTTCTCGCATTTTGAAAAAAATTTCTCATTTGCACCATTTAGAATAAAATCCGTTTCACTTTTCTTAATGAATCTTTTATTATTTTCCACATCTGCCCCATTATCTAGCGTCCCTATTTACCAGTATTGTTCAGAACCTTTAAGAACACCATCCTTCCGAACCACGGAACCTCTTTCAGAGCGCATTTCTCTGCAACCACGTGTTTACCGTAGGTAAGGTTTCTTCATGTAAGATGTTCAAATTTTTTGCTCGTTAATGTAAGATGGACAAATACCTTGTAAAGTCAATATCTTCTACTCCGAAACAGACAAATGAAAATGAAACAAATGTGGGTAGAAACGATCAAAACGAAACAAATACGCATTTGAGCAACCTAATGAAANAAGATTAATAAAAAAAATTGCTTTATATTTACTTTGCTCATAAATATTGATGTAATTTTGAATTGCAATATTATTCTAATTTTACAGACAACATTTAACAAATGTTAATATCATGAAACACTATAGAGCATTACAACAAATTAAAGAAAATGTAGGAAATCTTCCAGATTATTCTTACTTGGAAAAATGCCAATCCAACTAGGCCACCAAACAAAGCACCCAAATTTCTATTCACAAAGTCAACAACTTTATTATAGCAGCCCTAAATCAAATGAAATTATAGATTAAAACAGGTCCTTTATCACATCATTAAACATTTTCGACAGAAAGGTATCTTTAACTTTATACTTTCACCGAAAAATTTTAGATTTATGCAAGTTATTTTACAATTAGCAAATGCTGTTTTAAAAAATACATTAAAGGCACAGTAACTAAAACAGAAACAAGAATCACTCTTTGGTCAAGTGCAGATGGTTATAATTTATTTACTTCTCCAACCTAATGCAAATATTTGTTAGTTTTACTCAAAAAGTCTTCAACAAAAGTAAATTCATCCCAATGCTTGAATTACTTTTCTTGTTATCGTAAAATGAATATGAAATTATAGAAATCAAACTTGAAGAGTTGTAAAGTGTGCAAAAAGAAAGCAAGCACCCAAAATAACTTTTGATCAAATAGTTAGATTTTCATATACTAAAACTTAATCTGAATCTTTGAGGCCCCAAACTTAAATATGTTAATTAATTTGTGCAGATAAGATTATAAGTTACCAAATTAAACATAGAAACATACTTTCTCAGAGTAAATGCAACATTTATTTTCAACTGATTTTAACAGTTACCCTCAAAATATGAAGAGTAGCTGCAATATGGAAAACAGGATTCTAATAGTTTTGTCAAAAGAACAGTCGAAAATTTGGAGATGGAAAATTTATATAGTTTGAAGATCCATTGTATATTTCTTAAATATAAATTTATAGCATTTTGTTAACCTGTTGAAAATGAAGTTCCTTTATCAGCGTGCAATATTGTGTTCAGTGACAAATCTTTCTTCAATTAATAATTAACATTCAAAATGTTAAGTGTAAACTAACTTTAATTTCCTTCTTTCATTTTAATGTTGAATGCAATTAATCTAACAATTAATGCAATTAATTTAACCAATGTATCCAATTTAATGAAAAATTTTATATAATCTGCTAGATTTAGATGATACTTTATTTTCCTTAAATTTTAGTCTAATCATTAATTTATTAATTAATATTTTGAATTAAAGGAAGATTTAGTTTATCTATATTAAGCCAGTATTTAAACATTTAGTTCAGCTTTTTTAAATTATTTTTCTTCAATTAAAACTTATAAAAAATAAATGCAATTCAAAAATTTGTTTAAAAAAGATTTAAGTAATTTATAAACATGAAAAAAATACCTACTAATTAATTTTTCCACCAAAAAATTTAATTCTGTTTTAAAGATTTCAACTCAAATGCTTTTTTAATTCGAAAATATATTACACTATAACAATGTGTAAATAATCTTGATATAAAAGCTAAATTCATTTTAGCTACAAAAAAGTTTTTTTCTTCCTATAACCCTCTTCCAAAAAAAGTTGAGCACCTTTATTTCATAATAATATGTAACTGTTTCCTAATCCTCGTTTTAAGACATTATAATTATCTTAAAATTAAAGTAGACTTGAAAAAAAGGTTCCATGGTAGCTCTATTACAATAAGATTGTTTTTTTTTCTTTAAGAAATAAAAAGTTTTATTTGAATGATGAATGCAATATCAGAGTTGCGATCTGCCAAAACGAATTAGCGTATATCATTTCAATGCAGCTAAGATTTTCTTCAATGCTAAACATACCATAACTGGTCAAAAGATCGGCTATTGCATGTTGTATTGTAAAGTGTTGGTATGTTTAGTGTTAACTCGCTGTTTCACGCTTGGATAAAAAGTATGACCAATCTTTAAATATATTTAACCCATACTAGTGGTAAGAAATAGTACAGTAGGGAACCGATTATCCGGAATGATCGGGACCATCGCTATTCCGGATAACTGATTTTTCCGGTTTTCTGCATCGCTACAAAAAGCCGTTTTTTTAATTGTTAAACCAAACTGAAAAAAAAAAAATTTGGATATAATCTTAAAAAGAAGGAAAAACGATGAAATACACTAATGATTTTTTCCAAAATGATGGTAAGATAAACATCCTTCAAAAAAGAAAGGAAAATCCTAAAATCTTATGAGGAGAAAAAAAAAAATATTTTTTAAATGGCGGGAAAATTTATCGAATTTCGTTCCGGTTTTTAGGTTTTCCGGTTTTCTGATTTCCGGATAACGGGTTCTGTACTGTATCTGTAGCAACAAAATAATATGGGCCCTCATTGGATCAATATTCACAAATCTTGGCTCAGGAGTCAAAGGGCTGTAATTTTCCAACATTGGTTCCATATAGAATTGTCTGATTTACCCGATATCTTACAGCCACTTTACAACCAATATCAGAGCTTTATATAGAATTGTAAAACTCGCCCATTATTTTATAGTCATTATTCAGCCTATATTAACCTGTGTTAAAAATTCTAGACATCCCAATGTTGGTCTCTTGGTGCATGTTCATATAGGACCCAAATTGAGCCACATTTGGACCAAACTGGGGCCAAAGTAAAATTGTTGCTACGGATAATATATTCAACAGCTAACTGAATAAGATATATATATAGATATATATATACAGTACAGAACCCGTTATCCGGAAATCAGAAAACCGGAAAACCAAAAAACCGGAACAAAATTCGATAAATTTTCTTGCCATTTTAAAAAAAAAAAAATTTTCCTNACATCACTTGTTTGTCAAGGTGTAACTTTTTTTACCTAAATGGTTGCAACAAATAAATCAATACTCACTTCAACATAAATATCATCCGTGCCCATGAGTGGTGCATACTGGCAAGCATTGCTATCCTTGCAACAGCTGATAGGAACTGAATCATTCTTCCACACGGCATTCCAATCTTCAAAGTCCTTAACACCACAACATTTTAGCTGAAACAAATAATGAAGTTAGAAACAAAAGTATACCTAAGGGAGAAGAAGTCCAGATCTTCAAAAGACAAAGAATGTGATGCTATATCTGAATGAATGCTATCAGAATGGGATGGTATAACTTACAGGGAAAGCAAGTATACAATATATATTTAAATTCAATGAATGAGCTCTTGAAGCAAAGTTCCAGTCAGGAGCTAGACAACCTGAACCAGTCGTTGTTGGTCAGGTATACTGCTTCCTACCAAGAAATTTTCCTTGCAAATTTTGCTTTTCCTTCATTTTGAAATTTAAATGTGTAGAAAGTGTTCAGACCAGGGTTGGGGTTTTGCCGTCAAAAACTGGTTTTTCACATGACAGTGGTAAAAACCATGTTTTTACCGGTAAAAACCGTCAAAAACCCACTGTTTTCTTAAATTTATGGCATATAGCGAACAATATATTATTTTCACATAATTGCCTTTATAAATGAATGTTGCTAATGATTGCTATTGATTTTGCAACTATATACATGTATTCTTATAGAAGGATATACATTCATACAGAAAAATTGTAATATACTTATTGAAAATAGTGATACTTACTATTATCATTATAGCTTGATTTGCAAAGGGTTCAAAATTTTGCACTTCTTAATTGTTAGAAATAAACAAACAAACAAAAAAGCTTGGAACTATTAATAAATTCAAGAACTAAAAAGAAGAATTTAAAATTTGGCATTTCTTAAATATTAGAAATAAGCTAAACAAATATTTCAAAACTTAGAACTACTAACAAACTCATGAATTACTGCTATTTTGTCAAGTTAAAAACTTTTACTCAGTTGAAAACGCACATTAAACAAAACTTAATTACAAACAAAATTACATGTTCAGTAGTCGGGGTCACTGTGCTGAAGTATACGATAGCAAGTGACTAATTTTGCGCATTTTTCATTGCCCAGTCAATTTCTGAGTTTAGTATGGATGAGTCCTAAATTCCAGAAGATTCTTTCAATGGATGCGGAACTGGATGGGCGAGACATAAGCACTTGAATTAAAGCAAAATTGATAAGAAAAAATTGAAAGCAAAATTGATAAGAAAAGTTTATTTTATGAGGCTTTCTTTTTATATGTACATGTATTTCTCAAAACAAGATTTTATGAATGGAAGTAATCAATCTTGACATTCTTCAGTAATGTAATATGCCAAACAAAATGATGCTTGGAAATGTTGAAAATTTTGTTTAGTATCCTAATATTTTTACTTCAAAAAGTATGTTTTGATATAATAATGTTGGGAAAATGCAAGAATCTGTTCTTAAATATCTTTTAACAATTATTTTTCTAATTTTATTGCCCAAAAATGAATTAATTTTAAATTATAAACAGTTGAACTCAAATAAAAATACAGTTTCACCAAGGTTTTTGACGTGACGGTAAAAACTGTCATGTGTCAAAAACTTGCCAACCCTGGTTCAGACAAACATAGAGTAAGCCATGAAGTTTTAAATACTGAAAAGAAAATTTTAAAATATACAAATGAAAATAAATTAAAAGATGATAACTAAGGATTACGCAATGGAGGAGTTCTCTTCTAATAATTAGTTTGCATTTTAATATTTCAGGGGTGATTGTGACCCCGACTTAAAAATTCTGAAAATTTCTCGAGTAAAATCATTAATGACACATTTCAAAATCCATGTCTTCATCAATTTAAATCACTGATATTTCATAAACACGAAATTCTAAATAAATTATGTGCAGCATAATTTAAATGAATAATTATGTATAAGTTTACTTTTATGTCTAATAACATTTATTATTCAAAAAGAAAAAATCTTTACAAATGAAAGAGATGCCAAGTGTAAATTCTAGTTCTAATACTTTTAAATGAAATATACAAGAATTTTTAGACATAAATGTGATCAATGATTTCTTGTAACTTCTAGACCTTGAATTTCCTTAAACTTCCGGATCGCGGTTAGCGAAAAATCAATGGAAGCATTTGTTTCAGCAATTGAAACTTCGATGATAAGTAATAATAAAACTATTAAAAATCATCATACCTCTAATTAAATATTTAAAAATAGTATTTTATTGGTTATAACATTCATAATTATCTTAATAAATTTTATTCATAAAGTTGGAATTCTGCCAAAAGAAGATTAATTATTCACGGTTCCTTAATTGAAAAAAATTGGAAACCACTGATTTCAAAAGAGTAAGGGAAGGCTTGAGTGCAAACCAACTGTTTCAAGAGGATCCTCTGTTGCTGAACATCTTGTTTTCTCTTTTAAACATCAAGTCGGGTTTACATTATGTCTATGTGAGCTAACTTCCTTTCATATATAAGTATATATGGTTAGAGCACGATTTAAAAAATTTTAATACAGTGAATTTTAAGAAAATTAGACACTATTCTTGTTTAGGGTCACAATTCAAATATTCTATCAGGATGCCACAATCTCAATATTGTGTTTTAATATTCATTTGCAAAAACATTCAAGTGTAACTATAATGTTTTGAAAGTATTTTATATGACTTAAAAGCCTGTATGCTTTCATTTACACTTTTGTAAAAGAAATATCAATAACACCAATTAATGGTGGCTGAAAAATAAAATTTGCATACTATCACATGCATATGTTAGTTAAGAAAATAGGAAAGATGGTGAGTAAATGATTAAAAATGCAATTTGATTTAAAAAAATCTTTAAGAAATGAAAACTATTTTATACATATGTTAGTTAATGTGTATGTTTTCATCTTTAATCATTTTTAAAATTGCTACGCACCTGCAATATTTTAAAAGCTTCCAAATTTTTTTTAATTTAAATATCATGAAACACTAATGCCGGATTTCTCATTTTGTTAACTAAATAAGGTAATAAAGATAGCACAACAAAATAAGTATTTGAAAGGCTTTCAAATTTATAAATTTTACCTAACAATACTGCGAATGGCAAGTTTTGCAAACTAAATAAAGTAATTACACACAACAATACAAAAGTGAATAAAATATATGAAAAGCAGTTAAACTTATTCAATATAAATTTAATAAAAAACTTATATTAAATTGTGTATTTTGTAGACTAATCATAATATTTAACTATTAACAATTATGATATCACATCTAAACAAAAGACAATGAATCATTTGCATTAATTTAATTTAAATTTATAAAACAAAACTATCACAAGATAAAGTGTGAAAAAAATGAAGCATCTTTAAAAAAGAATAAAATAAATAACTTTAAGTAAATGTAAAAAAAAAAAGACTCACATATTTTTGAAGCATATCAACATCTCTATCTCGAATTCGCCCATTGCCATAATGTGTTATACTGTTATTTAAACCAGTCTCAAATCCATTTTGTAGCTTGTTACGGTATACATACCCAGCTATGCCAGCAGCAACTTCACAGATGAATACAAGACTCAAAAAGATAGCCAACTAAATTAAAATTTAAAACACTGTTAAGTTCATATTGAAAGAATGCAAAAATAAAAATAATTAAATTTTTAATGGTTCGATAATATAGAAAAGAATGTGTGTTAAACAAATCATAACATTATATCAAACTTTAATCATTTTGCTAAAAATCACTGATAAAGATTAAATGCACAAATTTAAAAACAATCACAAAAAATGGTGCAATAAACAGGTATAAGAACAATTTAAGCCTGTAATCAAGGACAGAGGTCCAGAACTCAACTTCTCGAAAATACTATGTTAAGTTAGTGCTAAAGTTAGTTGAATTTTTTAAAAAAATTAAGAGAAACCTTCCAATCTTTTATTTTAAAAATAATTTTTATCAGCTGGTTACTTAACTTCAATTACTCAAGAATTCTTCAATTTCTTAATTGTTTCAAAACAAGATTAAGAATTATGTTTGCATGAATCTTGCAAAACTTTAACTTCAAATACAAAAATTAAAAAAGGAAAAATAATAAAAGTACTACAACACTACGAATAAAAATTATATTACTTATTAGAACACTTCAAATAATTTAAATAGAGCATGATTTTTGTTTTAAAAAAATTTCATATTATTTTGTGGTTCAAGTGTTAAATCTTTTAATTTTTCATTTAAATTCAAAACACTGATCTAATAGCATTAAATACTGAAACTGAAGTTTAATAATTCAAATAAAAGCATATTAAATTATAATATTTTTCCTTATTCAGACTTTCTAAATTTCTTTTTTGACTCAGACTTTCAAAAAAATATATACAGTGAAACCTCCTCTTATTGACACTCCTGCAAAATGGACGCCTCTCAATACGGACATATTTTTAATTCCCCGGGAATCTTCTAAGAATAAACAATTATATACATAATCCGCAAAACGGACACTCCCTTAACACGGGCAGTCATTTTGGCCCTGAAACATTATTTTCTATCTCTTCAAACAGGACGCTACTTTTTCTAAATTTTTTTAAAAAAAAAATATTTCTGCTTTAAATTGCAAGGGGGGAAAATGCAACTTTTCATCATTTTTAAAGCATGTAAATTTTTTGCCTTATCCATAACTAAATATATTTGTTAAGCTATTTTACTACTGAAGAATCAATCTTTCTCCTGTAACCTTGTCTTATCTTTTTTAAAAAAAGGAGAGAGAATAATACTGCTCTCCTGAAATAATTCGGACAGCAGCATGGGTGCAAGTTGGAAAAAAGGCCAAGACTGAAAATTTTTTGACTGAAATACCTAACATACACAATATCCCCTCGACTTATGCAAACTAAGAAAGCTTTACCATAATACATCATTAAATACTGTACAAAAAATATTTATTCATCTGTCTTTTGATAAAATAACAACAGGACAGAAGAAAGTAGACCAATAACGTAGACCTAAAAAATATTTTTACGGNAGACTGTGTTAAAAAAGAGAGCAGTAAGATGTGTTCATATAAATGAAACACTTATTCAGACACTTGATAGCTGATCAATTGTGAATAATCAACTCCATAGGTCCTCATGACTTACAGGTATGCATTGCTTTTTTTTTCTGTGAATTGTGGAAGGTTTACTTTCAAGAATGTACTAACCATGTTCCCTTTTAAATGGTAGGTAGGTGTAAGGGGGTGTAAACCTAATAATTGAAACCGACTGAGGACTGAAAGCTCCAATTCGGTATCATATGTCTAGCTTGCGTATCTATGCTAATAGGAAAATTATATTTATTTGTCTGTAGTTACATCTAGAATTATGTATTTATATCAAATTTCTTTATATATTCTTTTTTATCTTTCTTAAAGGTTAAATTAATATCCTTGTAGATAGTTATTGTAGATTATTTAATTATTTTTACATCTTTGAAAATATTCTACAAACAATTTACACTGCTAAACTTTGTTATTAGTGTACCCTTCCCGTAAATGGACAACTCTCATAAGCGGACAATTTTTTCGAACCCAAGAATGTCCGCTTAACGAAGGTTTTACTGTATATATATCAATGTAAGTGCGTGTTTTTCATATTTTAATAGATATTTTTTTCAAGCATCTATTCTATCTCTATAGATATAGTGGATTATACAGTATGGATAGTAAAAGAAAGAGCAAATAAATATCAGGATTTAAGTGTTGATCAAAATTTCTTTAGCAAAAAAGCGAAAATCAGATCAAAAATCTGGAACAAAATGCTAATATGCCACAGGCCTTATGAATAGAATTTCGTTTACCATTCTAGAAGCTTTGATGTGTTTCAATTGAATACAAGTTTTAAAATTTCATTAAAAAAAAAAACAAGATTTTTTTTAATTGTAGAGTTTCATTTTTTCTTGCTAATAATTATTTGATCGTAGCTTAGAATCGCTTTTTTTAAATTTGTTTGAGCAATTTTTCCCTGCTTACAAAGGCAGAATCTATCATAAGAATTTTTTAAAAGATTTAATGCTGCGATTCTTGTCGTGACCTTTTTTTTATGAAATTTTTTTTGCTCAAAAATCTTGTAAAGTACTTTAGCAAAAAAGCTTATATATCATGTTTCATCTAATTATTTTTAAATAGTTTTATGGCATTTTATTAAAAATCCTAGTATAGTGAAAGCTCTGACAAATATTTAGTTAATCTTAAAATTATACTTTTAAAAAAACATTTCACAAACATTGCAAATAAAATGAAAATATTAAATTGACATCATCAAAATTATAATTCTCCAAGACCAGAAAAAATATGGGTGGGTTTTATCATAATTGCATTTTATTATTATAAATTTATAATAGAATAAACTCTTAACTGCATATATTGAAATATTTACATTTCCATTATTTCTATATTCTGTGTTTTAAAATTTTTAATTCACTTTTTTAAAGACACATATTACTAGAAATTGCAAATAATGTGCTAAGGTATTCTCACAAAAATTTGAGAAACTAATTCACTCACAAAACAGTTGAAATTAGTCATATTGTAAAAATGGAATTACTTTTTTCCGTACCTTAATACATATAGTTACATGATACTTTTAATATGTAGCACCTTTTAACAACTGGTGAAATACTTGTTCTAGAATTTTCGTTCAGGTGCATTCCTTGTTGTTAAAAAACTAAAGCTTATTCTAGAAGTTCTCTTTCACTGTACATAACATAGGACACAATAACACAGTTGGATAAGTAATGCACTACACCAGTGGTCGGCAAAGTGCGGCTCCGGAGCCGCATGTGGCTCTTTGGCTCCTTAAGTGCGGCTCTGGCACAAATATCCACGGAAGGCGCAATTATATTTTTATTTAAAAAAAAACTTGATAAGAAAAAAAATTACATCTTATTTTGATAAATTAAAATTCCTCTGTAAATCGAGAGCATGTATAATTTTTTGTTTAAGTTAAAAGACAGATAGGTAATTAAAATTCTATATTGTTGTAAAAATACGTAGCGAACATCGAGCCAAAGTTTATTAGTTTTCGTAAACGTAAACACAAACCATGTACAAGCTACAGGCTGAAATTGTTCGTATGTTTTCGGCGTACTCCGGTGTGATACAAAGGTACCACAAGCATGCGCGCATACTTTTTCTAAATGAGTGGGGGTACAAATTGGCATCACAACACAAGTGGTCTGCTTTGAATGACCTGGAGAAGGAAGACATGATCATATTCAACGCTTGGAATAGTATTCCTGACTCTTACGATCAGCTGAAAAAGCTCGCTTTTGCTGTTCTTTCCCTTTTCGGTTCTACATATATATGCGAACAATCTTTTTCAAGCATGAACATTATCAAGAGTAAACTGAGAAGTCCTCTTATTGATGAGAACTTGGAATCATGCCTAAAATTAAAAACAACAGCATACAAACCTGAATTGCTCAAACTTTCCAAGGAGATGCAAGCACATTGTTCGCATTAATAAATATTTATTAAGTATGAAATTTAGTTTTATTTAGTGTACTACTTATTTAGTGTAATAAAAGTTTACTAAACAAGCAGATTTGGCTCCCAATTCGTTCTAAAAATTGTTGTAATGTTCATGTTTGGCTCTTTGGCTAAAAAGTTTGCCGACCACTGCACTACACCATTGCATAAATACAGTTTTCATGCTAAAAATTAATTTGATGCCTTTCACTTAAATTTGTATAATATATTTCTTCATTTAAACATTTAGTAGTTTTTCATAATTCTAAAACAGAATAGGTTAATCCTACAAAGGTAATTAGACCCTATTGCTGCAGTTAAAAATATTATTGCTAATTTATCAATGTTAATGACATTAACAATAAAATGTATTAACAGTTATGGTTATTAAGGGCTTAGTTATGAATTAAATTAATGGTGTTTATTAATGCTGCAAGACTTATGCTAAGAATATAAAGAATTTTAAAAAAATAATGAAAAACTCAAATTTGAAAAAAACTCAATTGAACTCGGAAAGAATAGGATAATAAAACGCTGGGGAAAAAACCAGGGGATTGGGTTTTTTCAAATATACCCAGGTTTTTTACAACCCTGCATCTCATACGGTTTAGAAACAGGAAAAAAAAATTATGCAATTAAATTTCTTATATTATTTTAAAATTCTGAAGTAATCTTACCACATATAATAAAATGGGTTGACCTTTAACAGTACAACAACAGGCAAACAGTCCAACAACTACAATCAAGGCTCCCGTTCCAATAAAAATGTAAGGAACCGCATCGTTATAATCATCCGAAAGATCCAGAAGATAATGCAGAGAAAGTTTCATCCATAGTCCAAAGGCTAATAATATTATTCCTGCGACCTAAATAATTATAAAAATTTTATAAGTTACCAATTAAAATATATTAACCACATTTTTTAAGAAAAGGGGAAAAATTACGTTTCTCATTAAAAGAAAATTATAAACAATTAAAAACAAACTATTCATATCTAGAATATTTCCTAAAAAATCCTATGCCCAGATATTTTAAAAATTTTGACATAGATAATTAATAAGCTAAATAAAAACAAAAAGAGGGTACTTGAGCCATTTTTAAACATAAAATAAGAACTTTTTAAGCTCACCAAAAATAGTTTTCGGTACTTTAAACAGCACAACAATAATGAATGTTTAGATCCTTTTATTGACAGTTTTTCTTATAAATTAACAATTTTTACAGACTCATGATAAATAATATACTTATAATTTTATTAGCCACCAAAAGAAAAAAAAAACATTTTATACAAATTTTAAAAAATATATTTAATGTGGAATTGTTCATTTTGCTCTTTAAGCAAATAATTACTTTGTTCAATCATGCAAAAAATAATAATTTCACCTTAAAATTCCTGTTAGTTACTTTTTATAAAAAAAATTATCTTTATTAAATCAACTGAATAAAAGGGAGACAAAATTTTCGAAGTGATACGAAGTGTTTATCGGCTGCTCTAAAACCCTAAATGACCTAATAAAACTATTTATTTAACGAAGGATCCAAGGATTATTGTTGTTTTTTGCCAATAAAATTGTGGTTGTTTCTAATAACACTATTTGACCATGAGACGAGATCACAAGCCAATTTAGGCAGCCATTAGTTTTTTGAGAAGTCAGGAAGGGTACGTTTCATTTGATAAGAGAAAACTCCAAGGGTAATAGTATATCTCAGCTCAGAACCTTACAGATAGATGGTAACACCACTCATTCTTAAGGACACTTTCACAATTTAGTCAGAGGACTGAAGGGGAAGAAAACTTTCTCCTGATCCCTTTACCTATGGCACTGCTCACAGCGACTAACCACAGGACTTTGGATTCCATAGATTTTACAAGCATGTATATCACAAATAATCAGTAGTTCTTAGCAGAGTAGAGGATTAAATGCTGGACCCTGTGAGCACTGAGCTACCATGGCCCAATAAGATTGTTCCATAATTGTGTGAAAAGTTAATCTTTAATAATGTTTAACAAATTTCTGACCATTGTTTTAAACTACATTTGTTAACTAAACACAGTATTACACAGAGCTAATAATAAAATTAAATATATTTCATTACAGATCTTATTTTCTGTTCCTTATAGTAGAACAGCTGATAAATTTAGATACTGATTTAAGATTTGTATAAAAAAATGTTGAACAATAAAGTTAATTTTTAGTGAAGCGATGATGTGGTGTGGATCTCATATATTCTCAAGAAGAGATTTCAGTTTTGAGTTGCCTTTCCAGTTCATAGTTTTAAGTATTTTGAGGTCTTGATCTCAAGTCATTCAGAATATTGCACTTTGGATATAGCACTACGTGAATTCAGAATAATTATCAAAGCCAAAAATAATAATAATAGCAGAGAACATTAAGAAAGGACATTAAATAAATATTTAAATAAGAGATAAATATTTTACAAGTGAACACTTTTATTATTTTCATTAATTTTTAAGCTGATGACAACCATAGAACCTGGATCATACCATGTGATTTACCTATCCAAAGAAAATACAAGGAACAATATAACTCTGAACCGGACCGATAAAAAGTCTATGCTGATGACACATTTTCTAATCACCAACCTTATACTGGTGGAAGGAGTTTTTTTTTGTGACCAGCTTACTTCTCATTCTATCTTTGGAAGTTAGCAAACAGCTTTTCAATGAGGAAGCTTCGGTCCTGAATTTCATTAATTTTCCACAAAAGTTTTTAAACTCTTTGAAGACAGAAAATGTCTCCAACTTTTAACAGGTGCTTTCAAATGACACCAAAAGCATATAATCTCTTTCATTTGCAGTGAAAATATCAAAAATAATGAAAAATGCGAGAAAAAAATTTTAAACAAGACATTTTATTTTTATAGAGAATACAAACGAAAAGCAGACAAGCATGATGATAAAATTGACAGATGAAAACGTCATACTCACTTAAAAGTTCAAAATTCAGCAAAAAAATAAGCTAATTTTAATAGTCATAAACTCATGAATTTTGCATGTGTAATATTATATGGCAATTTAAAACTGCTCAGAAATGAAATGTGAGTTCGATGAAGATGGTTCAGCACCAGATATTAGTTATATATAAAAAAAATTTTAAAAATCTTCGTTGCACACATAAATAATGATCCAACCTTCTGAGATATCTTAGATTATCCAAAATCTATAAAAAAGTTGGAATCGATGGATCAGATTATTGTTCTTAAGTGAATCCACACCAATGTGGACTCAGTGGTAATAGAAAGGTTGATGTATGGGCTAAGACGGGTGCTTGTGCTCAAAGCTAGATGGCTTGAGTTAAAGCTTCCCCTAAAGTATGCGATAACAAAAATGAAGCTCTCTTAACTCCAAGTTCACTTTTTCAGTTTTGCATGAATAAAACTGAAATTCGACTGATGCTGAGCTGCATAGACTAGTATGTAGAAGTACTAAATCTATTATAACATAATAAATTAACATATAACTAGGAAATTCATTCTTACAACTGTACCAAATATTAATATTAATTTAAAAGGTACCTCAAGGTTAATAGATTGATAGATTGATTGATTGAGCTTTTAATAGATTGATTGAAAAAAATTTTAACTCATTTAAACAAACATTTATATTTTTTATAAAATATTACATTTATATTTCTAATAAATTGATGTAAGTTTTTTTCATCAAAGAAAAGTTTTGTAAAGAAATAATATTTTTTTTAAAAAATTTCTCCATGACTGCTTGCATTTTCTCTAAAGTCTTGTTCGCACGGTCTAACATATTCTACTGAATATAATTAGTAACAATAAATCAATAAAAAATTATAAGTTGAAATCAGACAACTATTGGCCAACAATTCAATTTTACTAAATCTAAAAAATCTGTCTCAACTGTAACATAAAAAGAATAAAAAACAATATTTAGATTCATAATAATTAACAACTCACAGTTATTGCTAGTAATATATGCCGAATAGTTATAGTATTGATCTTAAAGTATTAAGATTATTATTAGAAAAACCGATAGTTTTAATAATTTTGGCAATATTTTTATTTGTGATATATAATATAAATCATAATTATTGTAGTATATAACAGGGTTGGGTTTTTGACGTCAAAAAGTGGTTTTTGACATGACAAGGGTATAATACTGGTATAAACTGTCAAAAACCCGTCGAAAACGTCAAAAACTGAAGTTTGCCAAGAAAATATATAAACTTCAAAACTACCAACAGTTGCCATGCATTATATTGAAATTTAATTATACTATAGGTAATCAGCAGGTTTTAAAATATTTTTTAATTAAAATTAAGGTAAAATAACAGATTTAAAATCTCAGAAATTTATATTCAAATGCATGTGCAGAAAAATTTTGCACAAAAATTGTTTAAATATTTATATTTAAAAAAATTTTTTTTTTCTTTTTGATACTTAAGAAAATTAAAAGTTTATTACTATGCATTTTTGACATATAAGGAACATATAACTAATATTTATAAGGAACTTACAAGTTATGTTGTATAAATACAAACTTGATATAAGATACAAGTGTATAAAAATTTTTTTTTAATGTTATACCGAATATCTTTATTATCCAGTATGTTAATTTGAATTTAAAAGTAGTTATATTTATGAATAATGATAAATATAATTCATATTGTTTATTATATTTATTTATAATTATTACACTTATCATTTTAAAACAATTTTTATCTCTTAATTTTTTTTTCTCCACTTGTATTAAGAATACAAATAATGCATATCTTGAAAGCAAGAAGTAATTATTCAACAGCTGAATATTTAGATATTCAACAAAACTATATAGTATTCAGCAAAATGAAATTCACAAGTATTTGGATAAACTAAATTTTCAGCATAGTAAATGAATAGGCTGAATATACTGTAAATCGACACTAACTACTCTGTGTATTTAACAGAAAGCACTTAAATTTGTATTGTCTTATGTTAAAAAGATTATTAAGAAGATTTAAAAGAATATTAAAAAGATTTTTCTTTAAAAGATGTCTAATGTACAAAACTGCTAATGTTTATCTTTAAAAATGTCTAATTTTTAGTATAATCTATACTATACACTAAATTTGGTTATAAATAAATTTCTTAATAATATCACTGCAGATTTTCAATAACACATGAAAATGAATACATAATATTACAAAAGATGTGAGTTTTCAAAAGTACAAGATTTTGGTTACTATTCAAAATATAAGTGTTTCTTCAAAATTTTAAATTTATTTTTTCTAGAACATATTTAGAAACACTATCCTCTATAAAAAATATATAAATTTTATGTATTAATTAAATTTCACATATGAATATAGGTTTTTGACATTTTCGACAGTGAGGTTTTTGACGTGACGGTTTAAACCATGGTTTAAACTGTCAAAAACTGTCACATGTCAAAAACCTGCCAACCCTGGTATATAATGATATATATTGAGCAAGATTTAGCATCTGATAAAATGTCTCCTATGTCCTAAGTTTTTGACAGTTTATGACACCACTTTACACCAGATTTTTGATGTCTAACACCCAACATTGTACCCAACTAGCCCCTTCACAAGGTGGTTGCAATAGTTAGACTTTTTACTCAACCTGACAGTCTGATTGGACATCTTTTAAGAACCCCTGTATAAATAGTCATTGCCTAATAAGACTTCTCACCAACGAATATTGCTTGAGAAAGTAGTCCCATGAAAGACTCGGTAGTAAATATGAAAGATGGCCACAATATTTTCTATTGACTGCTTTATGGCCTACCTTAGTCAAATGGTTCAGAAAGGTGAGAAGCCTATGAGACAATGACTTTTTTTATTTCTTTATTTTTTGTTCTGTGTTTCAGTGTTACATTTTGTCAAGTTCTCTGTTCTGAAAAATATTTAATTATATTAATATTCAATAAGTAAATATGAATTATATATCTTTAATTAGATTGGGATAAGAAATATATCACATCCCTTATAAAAGCTTATTGTGCAAAGATAAGTGAAAAATATATTAATAAGAGCCATAAGTGAAATCAAAGTAATTTCATAAAAACAAAGATCAAAAATGAAATTTATTAAGTAAACTACTTGCGTTAAAATCGAAAATAAATTAAAGTGAAAATGAAATCTCTGGTTTCACTATTTAAACGTTGTTGTTTAAAACAAAAGTGACTTAAATATTATCAATTGTTTAAATGATATGTGATAGTAGTTTAGATTAAATAAAAAATCAATAAAAGTAAAAGTAGAAAAATATGTCACGTTAATAACTGCTTGTAATTATTAGATAGCAAACATAAAATCAATTTCCTTTTACGTTAAACAAAACTTATTTATATTAAAAATAATAAGATTAAATACAGTTATTCATAATTAACATGACTTTATGCGTAGCATTTAATATAATAACAAACAAGGAAACGCAAACACAGCTGTTCTAATTACGTCATTTAAATAAATGAAAATTGCGCATACCCAAAATATCACATTAAATAAAAGAAGCAACAGTTTCATACAAGTCACAGCAGCAACAGTTTGAAGTCTTCGACTCATTTTAAAATCTGCTAACAGCACCTATTTATTAAATACTTGAGATTTTTGATAATTTTCCTAGAGGATAAAATTATTGATCTATAAAATTAATCACTTCTAGCGATAACAAAAACAGTTTTAGTTTCAGCCAGATGTTCACGTAACGATATCATTGGTCGATGACCATGGTTCGTAATTGAATTTTCTCGAGTGCAGAACAGTTTATTTTAGCTTGTAGCTTTCTAAAATTGAAATTTTTGAATTGGGGTGGGACGTGTTTTTACCATGTAAGCTCTAAGCAGCATAAATAATAAAATTAATTTTCACAGATAGAGATCTTGGTCGCACTCTGTCGTCTGCTTATAATGGAGGAATCCAAATCAAAATTGAAAAGGATAGTTTTATCAATAAATATATGATGATATCGAACTGAACTAACTGAAAGAGAGTCTTAATTAAGCATAGAATGTTGTAAAACTTCCTTATTCTTTCATATCACTGTCGTGTTAATTCTTGAGAACAACTTTATTCTTACTATATGTGTTGTACATTCCCTAGGACAGAGACACATAGATTTGTTATTAGTTTGTAATTTATTTAATAAAATTAATTTTTAAAAAAAATATTTCACTTTATAAGATCAAGTTTTTTTAAAAATTAATGATTTGGTCATGTGAATAGAAAGTATAATAAAATACACTTTATAGTATTTAGGATTTTTAAAATTAGGGAAACATTAAAAATGGTTATCAATGTAATATGAAATTGAGAGAAAAATGTTATTTCTGCAGTTCTTGTTTTAATTAAATGATAAAACCGAACCACTGACAAAATATTACACAAATGTTTTTTTCTGTTAAAAAACTGGGTAAAAATTTCTATTCATCAGCTCAGCAGCAGAATTTTCAGATCTAATCTGCTGCAGATTCTTCAAAATCATAATTTCTCTGTGGCCTAAATGCAATTAAATGTAAGACTTAATATCGTACAAATTAGGCTTACCCATACTTAAAGTAAATTTTGAATTTGCAAAATAGTAGATAAAAATTAAATCAAGAAATGTATGTGTATATTAAATTTAAACATACATATCTTGTGTGTTCAAATTGACAATTTAATGTTGCCTAAAAGACAGATGCTTAAACATCTTACATAGCTTAAACATCTAATAAACTTAAGTGGAAAAAAAATGATATAAAGTTCAGGATTTATGGAATAAATGTGTTTATGATATATCACTCAAGATAAAACTTTCTTAAACTATAATTGGAAAAGTTTAACCCAAACTTTACACATAGCAACCAGTGTCAGATTACACTTTAGGCCATGGCCTGGGGCCCCCAATAATTAAGTGCCCCCTTAAAATGGATTTTTTTTGAAAATAAATTTTAAAAAATTAAGAAAAACAATGATTTTTTTTTTAGAAAATCAATTTCAAATATATATTCAAATTTTTTCAAAATGGTATGATTATTTTTAGTTCTAATTTAACAAAATAAAGTAAAATTTAGTTTATTATTTTTTATTTTAAATATGCTTTCTTAAATGAAACGATATATATATACTTTTATATTTGAATAAATAAAAAATATACAAGAAAGAAAACGTAATCGGGCCCCAAAAATTTGAATGGCCTAGGGCCCCTAGTATGCTTAATCCGGCCCTGATAGCATTATATGCACTTGTAAACAAAAAATAGGATAGATAAAAAAAAAGTTAATTTAATTTGAAACTTACAATTCTATATAAAAAAAATAAACAAACCCAAAGGTAAAGCTTCTATCTAACAAATCAGATTATTCCAGATATAAAATCAGATTAGAATATCAAACCAGATTATCACTGATTCAAAACTAGAGCAGTAGCATTTTAAAATTTAGCATTTAAATATTTTTCTCCTCTTTTTTATTTTAAATATGCTTTTGTCCCTTGTGAATATATTTTATTGAATTAAATTATACCTATGTCCATTATGAAAACTTTATCTTCAAACTTAAGTATCTGCAGCTGTGTTATCAAAGTACTGTACTTGTCTGATGAAGTTGTTTTGTGTGTCAGATTTCAAAAGGAGAACAGATGATTCCTTTATCATTCATCAATGAAAATAGAAGGGAGAGAAAAAATTTACTTTTTCACTTTTTTATTTACTTTAAAAAAGAAAATTATTAAATTAACTCATTTTACTTAGCACTAGGTGGCAAAAAATGCCAATTTCAACAATACTCATTTGAAACCTAAGCATAGCAGTGCATACTAGTTTTTTAAATGTTTATATCAAGTCCTATTTGATTGAAATATATAAATTGAGCTCTCAATCTAATTTTAAATAAGTTTCAAGAAGAAAATATTTCTACGTGGATAAGGTTAAAGTATCTGTCAGCAGAAAGGGACGGCTAAAACATAGCATTCATTTTTGTACTTCTTCAAATGATGTTCAAGATTGCCACAAATCAGAAAGTGCTTAAACAGGATGCATAGCCAGATTTTTCCTCAAAAAAGCGCCTTTTAAGCACTCAAAAAATATTTTTAATCACTTTCCAAAGAAAATCATAATTAGGATCTATGCAGCAATAAAAAAAATTTCTATCGTTTAAAGTTCTTAATTTATAAATATGAAATCAATAAAATTCAAAAACATTTTCGAAAACTTTATGCAATCATGATAAAATAACTAGTTTCTGTGCTAGTAACTAGTGCAGAGAAAATTGTGAAAACCATGCATTTTTTGTAATTTAAAACGACAATAGAAATGGCAAAGAAAGAATGTCTTTTTAAAAGATAGAAAATTAAGCACTTTTTGCAAACCCCGAGTAAAAAAAAAGCACCTTTATGGGCTTTTAAAAAACGTAAATCAAACCTAAGCACTTTTTAAAGAAGATACACATCCTCCTGTTAAAGCTGCAAAGTTTGTCACAGAACTATTTATGTACCCATCTCAGTAGATAGCAATCTAAATCCCGATAAAAATGTATATGTTTTAATAATTTTTGTTTCATTACGTGTGCATCTACACATAATTCAATATTTTTTTTAACTAAGATTATTTTTTTAGCAATTTCATGTAACAAACTGAAATAATCATAATTTTAAAAAAATAGCAGCTAAGTATTGAGTATTTGTAAACTGTAGAGTATTTGTAGTTATTAGGTCTTGCTCAGAAAATCAGACATAATTCTGCACCAGGGCAGAATTGATGTTTTTCTAAATTTTGTCAAGGAAAATGCAAGAAACCTGAGTGATTTAGAGGTACTTATAATATAAAATAATTCAATATATTATCTTGTAGATTAGGCAACCAAAGAGAACTAAAATTGGAGTGTGATTAAAAACAAATTCGTCCCACCACTGTTTGATATACCTATAATTGATTAACATGTCTCTGGAACAAATTTATGGAATGGAAAGAGGTTTTGGGAGAAGTTTTGTCTCGGGCATTAAACTGTAATTCTTAGGGTGATTTCCTGACATATATATTTCCTACGTTGAAGTGCCTGCTGCATTGGCCATTTTATTTCAAAGAATTATTAATGTTGCTTAGGGATGGACAAACTGTCAAGTAATAAAAATTCCTAGCTCCTCCTGAGGTACACAGGGAGAGGACAGTCAGAAATGCCTAGAGTGTGATGGTGATAATTCTTGACAAGTGAATCTAAAAATTAGTTAATCTCTTGAGAGCAATTCATTTTTTTATTAACAATAAATTATCAACAAAAAACACACATTTACCACTGCATGACCTGTTATTTTCATGAGTTATCTCACTGTTTTTTCAAAAGAAAAAAAAAATTTAATTTTTACTTTAGAAAAGTTTTTTTATTTTTGTATAAAATTGGCTTTTTTTATTCAAAAATGGAATATCTTTGCTGAATGGTAATCATAATTTTGAAAGATAAATTTAAAAAAAAAATAAATAATTATAATAATAAATTCATAAAATAATTATTATAAATTTTGAAAGATAAATTTAATATATATGTATATGTATATTAACCCTTTTTTGCCTGAGCTTTTTTTAAATAAGTATTTTTTCTTAATTTTTATCGCATACACACTATGTTATTTATAAGGAACATCTTTAGAGTTCTCTTTAGTTTTCATAAAATCTAAAAAATTCTAAGGAGCTAAGTCTGTTGTTTCTTTTTATAATCATTGATTGATTACACACTGGAAGATGAAAAGCAGCTAGGTCATCATATAAGTAAAAGGTTTAATGCATGCAATAGTCAAGGTTTCCATGGGTCACGGAAAACCTGGAATTGTCAGGGAATTTTATTTTGGCTCTAAAAAGCAAAGGATTGTTAGGGAAAATTAAAATTTTCTACAAAAACCTGGAAAATTCCAATATTATTCCAGGAAAACAACCAGTTTCAGAACTGTCAGTAACCGTAGTTAGCTATTGAGATTGGAGTTAAAAAATTCTAATATCTATTAAAATTATTTGTTGTAAAATTCCAAATTTTAGTCGAGCTGACATGTTTCATCCTCATTCGATGATATTTTTTTGCTCGCAAAATCTAATATTTGGTATTACAAATTTTAAAAAAATCAAAGTTTTCTGATGAAAAATTGAATGGTATCGATAAAATAGTGTCTGGATTTTCACTGAAATGTACCCAATATGCCGGAAAAAAGTAGGGGAATTTTTTTCTGAAATTGAATGGGAACCCTGATAATTCACAAACTTATTTCTAATTAAATTCGCAATTAATACAATTGATTGATAATTTTTCTTCAATTATACGTAAATTCTTAATGCATTATATAAATATGTAACACAAAGCATGCAAATTTTTATAAGTTTAAATTTAGAATAAAACACTCATTAGTAAATAAATATGAATAATAAAAAATTTTATTTGTCACCTAAAATGATTGAACAATATGATAAATTATTTAACTATGTATACATTTCATGACATTGTCTAAACTTTCCATAATATTTGATAACACCACAAAGTAACTATTCTTTTCTTTGATCACATATGTTATAATTCATAGGAAACCTAATAGTCATTGACTATCATAAAGATGAGAATATTTCTTTTGACTTTTCATAAGCACCAAAGAATACTGCTCCTCCAATAGAAATCCACAATACTCGAGGGCATATTCCAGAGAATAATCTGAAAATATAATTTGTTACCTGGTATCTCTAAGCATTGATTACAAATGTAATAAAAGTTTATATTTTACATTTTTGAAATAAAATAGGAATTCTACATGGGAAGTTGAAGTCCAAGCTTTAGCGGAATTTAATCAAAGTGTAACAAAATTTCCATGTTCATAAAATAAATAGAGGGAGTTCAAATATTACTTAGCATGCTATGGGGAATTTTCAATCCTGCACATTTCTTTGTCATCAAAAATAAACAAATACTTACCTTATCCCATATCAATTTTTTTTTAATAATTGCATTCTACATAAACTCCAAACAAATATGGAACTCTTATTAGCTGGATTTACTTAAAATGAAACTTATAATTAAATTTAAATGAAATATTACAATTTATTTTGACTCGATAATTGTTATTTATCAGTAAATACAGTCTAGCTTTGATAATTTAACTAAAAATCAAAATTACATTAAAAATTTGATGCATTTCAGCAGCTAATTTCTAGATTCCCTTCAACTTCCTGTAACAGTGAATAAAATTATGAAGCCACCCACTACTAGTCCATGAGATTAGGAAGTATCTGGACCTGCAACTCTCGGTCCTCATACGCGATACCGCTCCTGAAGTTCTTCTCTCCCTTGCTCTGGAGACTCTAGATAACAGATTCCCAGAACCTGAATGGCTGCGGGTTTATACTGATGGCTCTTTTTCAAATAACCAACCTAATGCTGGAGCGGGTGTCTTTAGCGAACTGTTTTCTTTTTATGCCCCAATCGGAAGTTTCCAAACCGCATTTGATAAGGAAGTTTCAGCTATTTGCATGGCTCTTCAGCAGTTGGTTGTTCTTAGTTTTTTTTTTTTCTTTTTTTGTTCATGTCTTTTTTCCCCTTTATGTCAAGTTCTCTGCCATTGGAAATTAAAAAAAATTTCTAGATTCCTTTTCACATAATAAATTGGACATCAAGTTTTTTGTACAGATAATAACTATTACAAAAAGTACAAAAGATGGAAGATTTTTATTTAATATTATTTTCATAAATTTAAATTAGATAAAGATGATACGTAATTAGCATGACATTTATAAAACGATTAAAGGATAATGAATTTTAATCATGATATGAAACTCACCCACGAATTCCACTTTCAACCCATACATCCTGCATTACCAAAATTATACTGCCTTTAGCTGTATGGGTACCTTTCTAAAATAAAAATAAAAAATTATTCACTCAATATAAATATTTTATTATATCTAAATAATGAAATGTTAAAAGTGAATTATTAAACAATTCATTGATATGAAATGATAATAATAAGTCTAAATCATTTTGAGAATAAATAATTTTGATTCATTTACATTCCTAATGGTGAAAAATGATAATTAAATAAATTAAAAACTTCTGCAAAGAAACTTTTTAATACATTAGCGAAACCCTTTTCTTCTATGGCATTTAATCTAATCAAAAATAGTTGTTTTCAGACAATAAAGATTATTTGTTATTGAAATTTTCTTTAACCAGAAGCAGAACTAAATTTTAAATATAGTAGTAATTTCTACCGACAAAGCCATGAACGCTATTTAATAATGTTTACTTTGGTTAATAGTGAATGCACATTCATAAAATAATGCTCAATGAATAAAAAGTAATAATATTCCCATAAATTTTAGATGTGTCAACAGGCTAAAATTCAATAATTAAATGCTACAAATTCAATAAGCAAAAACATAAAACTCTTTTTAGTTTCAAAATTTTCATTCTAAAATATATTTTTAGGTTAAAAAGGCTAAGAGGCATTAAATTGTGCTTCCCAGACCCTAAGCTACTTAAACAGTTTCTTTCAAATCATTTCACAATCTGCAATATTTTAGTCTAGCTTTGCATGAATGATGGCAATCAATTTATCTTAATGTTATAAAAATATGCATCCTGTGAAACCTTCGATTGATATACACTTCATACATGGTTATACTTTGATTTCTATCCATTTATTTCATTTTATATATATTCTGATTTGATTTATATACATGTCAATCCTATTTAAAAATTACATATATAACAAACATTTCACAGAATTTTCTTATGTGCATAATTCTTAACTCTTAATGCATAATTTCTTAGTGCATAATTCTTAATTCTTAAATGGGTAAAATGTAGAAAAAACAAAGAATAAGACAAGAGAATGGAAAGAAAAAAAACATGGCAACAAAGCATGAAAAAATAAAAGAAGTATTCTAGAACTTGAACAAAAATTTAAGTTGAATATAAAAGTTGATCAGTTATATAATATGAATTTATAACAGAAAAAATTCTTTAAAGTTCTATAACCTTTTATAATTCAGAACTTCCTGAAATTGAATTGCTAAGAATAAATTTTAGCTACCGAAACAAACTTTTATTTTTTTTTATTGCACAAAATTTAAACTATGATTAACATTAGATCAATAAAAAAGAGTATAATTTTAATAAATAGGAATAACGTGAATAACAAAGGAAACTTAAATAGGATAACATCTTTGAAGAGGAATTCTTTTAATTAATAAAAAACTTTAACATTGATTAAGTTTTTATCATTCAGCCTAGAAAACACTTATTAGGCTGAAATTTAATTTTAACTGTGATAAACAATGAATAAGAAGAACAAAATAAATTTATGCCAAACCGAAATTTATATTAAAATCAGAGAGAGGAAAAATTCCAGAGAAAGGAATTTTCCAGGTTTTTTGTAAAACATTGCAACTTTCCCTACTTTTTAGAGTTACACTAAAATTTATAAACAGGAGTATAAACACAAGTATAAATTTATAAACAGGAGTATAAACACAAGTATAAATTTATAAGCAGAAACAATATTTTACACTAAAATTAAAACAATTTAAAAACTCATTATGTCATAAAGTTACGTTCTAGAGTCACATAGCCATCATATATCTTACTTCTGCTAAAAAATTGAGTTTAGAAAAAAGTATTTCATGCAAATTAATTTTATAATTTTAATATATATATAAGAATATTTAACCAGGTTGAAGCAGAATTTTTAGAAAAATAAAATATCAGATGTTAAATTTTTTCCTCAACCTCACTTGCCACTAACATGAAAGTTTAAGCCTTGTTATTATTTTCCTGGTTCGTAACTGGAATTTCCAGATTTTCGTTTTAAAAAACTCCATATTCTTTTACAGTTCTCTAAATTTTTTGGCGAAATTAAATTCTCTGACTATTCAGGGTTTTCTCCTTTTAGACCCCTTAAAAAAAGTTAATAAGAATTAAAAGCTCATGTGTAAATTTAAAAGTAAGATTATCATGATTAGGAGTGAAATGATTATAAGAGAGTATACTTTGAACTAAAGGAATTTTTTATGTATTAAAATGTTTCTCTGAAAAATATTTACAAGATCCTAATTAAAATTTCTACAAATGCAATTATCTTATTATTATTATTAAAATATTTTTTAACCATTTATAATTGTGAGTACTGAAACAAATGCATACTTTGGCAAGCATTATTCTTGTCTTAACAACATCTAATGGTGTGGTCATGGCTGCTGCTACAGAGCCTAAAAATTAAAGATACACATTATTTACAATTCACAAAAAGATAAAAATACAACATAAATTTTTATAATTTTTTTTAAAGTATTTATTATGATAAAATAATATTTTATGCAAAACTATTCTGGCAGTTAGAAACTAGGAATTTTTTTTTAATCGAATAACAAACATTTTACCCTCTTGTTCAACACACATGTCATATTTTTACTTTTTTGCACAGCAAACCAGTTCTTTCCATGTTATAAAACAAAAAAAACAGTGAGTAAGAAGAAATATTCTTTTAAATTTGACAACAAAAATAATTATTAAAGATTTGGAATATCAAAAACAGTAATGATAATGAAAATATGAACAATAATGAGAAAAAAAGATGAAAATCATTCTTTTTATATTATGAAATTCAACTTTGTTTTTCTCTTTCTTTAAGATGACCTAAAACAGTTCTCAAAATACGAGTTAAAAGTACCATAGTTTAAATTTCTTTATATGGTATCATATTAATAAGAAAACAAAGTTTTAGTTATAATCATTCAAACTTTTCATAATTTACAGGATTTCCTTTTAATAAAATGTTCCCAGGATTCAAAAATTCTAATTTAAAATTATTAAATACAAATAATTTATAATGAATGTAAATTAATTATGTTTCAACAATTTAATTTTTTCTGATTTATTTTATTAAAAAAAATCATATTAATTCAAAAGGACCTTAAGTAACAATACCATTATTGCAACTTTCCTAGAAGCTAACATATTTTAAATATTGATGTTATAATGCAGCATTTTTTTTATTAACTTGGTAATTTTTTGAAAAAATAAGGTAACCAATATCAAATTTCTGCCAAATAGAGTTTAACTTTTAATCTAGCAGAATACAATAATAATAAAAATTAATCAAAACCAGTTTTTTTTTAAAAATCAAAGGTTTGACAACAGTATAGAGAAAATAAATGTGTCATATACAAAAACATTATTACCGTACTTAGATTTGAATAAAAGTGATCATTATTATTGAAGACAATTAGTTTAATTCTCTCATATTGGCTAATAATTCCTTCCAGTATCCAGTATATATGGTATGTATTATATTATTATACCATTTAAATAGAAAAAAACAATATTTATTTTTACCAGCAATGGCACCACAAAAGGAAGATTGCCATGGTTTAACAGGATATTTTTGTCTTGCTGACCATTCAACCTAAAAATAAAAATTCAAAAGTAATACAATAATTAAAACTTCGTGAAAATAGTTTAAATCTAATTTTATTGTAAATATACAAAGTATCTAAGTTAGAGAAAAACATCAAAAATGGAAAAATTCATCACTTTACCATTGCAAATAAAAAAAAGGAGTAGAAAAATCAAGAATGATAATAAGTAAAACAATATTATATATGAAACATTTTCCTTTTTAAAAAAAAAATTTATTTATTGCTAATATTTTTTTTAAATTTGTTTCTTAGCATATTGTTAATACATCCATTAGTAAATAAAAACAAAAAATTAAATTAAACTTGATCATTCTTTTTCTGTTGAACAAGTAAGCTATTATTAAATAAAGAGAATTTACGTGCCTAAACTTGATATTGATGATAAATTATATATGTGCCATCTAATGCCCAGAATTTTTTACTTTTAAATGAAAAAACTTCTTTTACAGATTTAACATGTTATTACATATAATAAAAGATGCTAAATGCTAACTATGTTGCATTTTAAACCTTGATGATTACAGATAAAAATTTAATGTTCTAAACAGTGAAAATAAGTTTAGTTACAAAAGTTATTTTACCTTAAAAGAAATTAAATGACACTTACTAAGATTTGCAACAGCATCATAAAATATATATAATACTATGACTATGAATATGACTATGAATATATACTATGAATAAACTGAAAATATATATAATACTATGAGCAGTTACTTTCTTTTTTAAAGAAATTTAAGTGAAAATAACTTCTTTAACAGAATTAACAAGACAATGAATTCTGTTCTTCCTTTTTTTTATAGAATAAAGAGAAAATAATACACTAACAAAGATTCATGACTGAACAACTCTGACACACATGCACTAAAATAAGCATGATAAATGAATATTTTATTAACTTAATTAAATTTTTAAGTGTTCAAGTATCTTGCTTTTTATGATATTTAATATTCATTTCGACAACTCTAGTTCTTTAAAAGATAAAGTAAATTCATTTTAGCATCTGATTCCAATGGTTCTCATTTTAAGTAAAATCCATATAATATGTTTCTACTGAATTACAATGACAGAACAGAGTTGCTAACTTTAAATGGTTACAGATATTGAAGCAGTGAAAAGTGTCTAAAGTCTTTCATAATTATTGTAATTTTCATGAAAACTTATATCTTTTCATTAAGTAAAATAAATATTACAACTATATAAACTAATTATGATCAATATTTTAAATAATAACTGCATAACAAAATTAAAAACTACTCAAAAAACAATGTCATTTTCAGTTTTGTATCAAATAAACTAGGGAAAGTTGTACATTTTAAAATAATATTTTGAAAAGTTAGATCAGCACTTTCAATTATTGTAATAATTTACATAAAAATTAGCACATTATTTATTAAATTTACAATAATTAATAACAAACTTTGGAAAATCTTACTTTAAGTTTTTCCCATATGGGAAACTGAATGAGTGAAAAGGGAATTTCTCTGAACACAGTACTAGAGTAGCCTCTATATAGTCCTTTAATTCCCTAAAAATACAAGAATAATTTTTTTAAAAAAAATTATAATAACTGCCAAACAAAATTAAAGACTTTAACTTCAAAAGCAGTCTTATTTTAACTCCTTGCCTAGTGCTGGCATATATACATGATTTGCTAAGCCAATTTTTAAATTTCCCCTGGTGTATATATACGCCTTTCTGAAGTACGCAATGTTCTTTGCTATGCACTGCTATCGGTAAAACTACTCCCATAGCTTTGGAGCACAATAAAGCCTTTGAGACTATTTTCAAAGAATTTCAGAAGAATTCAAATAGCCTTGCCTCTTCTTTTTCTCCAATATGCCCCAAACTATGCAAGTCTCTGTGAGAATTTGTGGTGCAGAAGGGGGGCGTGAATCTCGAAACTTTCCTCACCAGGAAAGAGATTAATTTTGTGTCAAATAAACTAGGAAACATTTTTAAAAAGAATTTCAGATAAAATCACTGATTTTCTATCTATGGTCATTCATCAATTGTTTGTTGTCAAATCTGTAACTAAACACAAACTAACTAAACTTTAGCCTTCTTCCACTCTAAAAAAACTATAAGTGTCATGCATTGTTGCAGTTCTTTCTAATCCCTCAAATGATCTACTTATGGCTGTTTTTTGAAAACTATGTCATTTCATGAAATAACACTTTTTGGGCGAATAATATGCTATTTTTTTAACTGTTGCAAGTTTGTAACGATTATTCATGATCGCTGTATTAAGTTTAGCAAGCGTTTTTCACATAAATAAGAAAAAAGGTTAAAAAAAAGTCCATTTGCAGAAAAACCTCAACTTTATGAAAATGAAAAGCTGCAATCTAATGCTGCCTAACTTGAGATTATAAAAATTTGCAAAAATTGAGAATTATTCATCAATTTTAATAATTATAAGTCATATTTTAGTCATTTTTTTAATATTTAAGCTATTGTCCATGCAATTTCTGATGGAAAAAGAGTATATATTGTTTAAGATTATAGCTTTACTTTGATTTTAAGTTACTTTTTTTATTTTGCTTGGTAAAAGATCTTCAAAAGACATTCTTCAATTACATGCAACCATAAATATAGATACCTCTAAAAGAAGAAGGGATTCTGAAAACTTAGACTCAGAAGATAAAACTTAGGAATTTTAAACTATCTATAGGTAATGTCTTACTCTTGATACCGGTTCTAAAAATTTCTGCTCTTGTTCACATGAGAAGCTCAAGTGTTCACCGGAAAAACGTGTAATACAATGTCCTTTAGTACTTCCATTAAACTCAGATCACCGAGACATATGAACACTATGATTTAATCAGTTTAAATGTGAGTTAGATATTTCCCTATTTAGAAGCTTGCAAACACGAAATAAAACATGGCATAATCTTTATTTCCTATAGTTAAAGTAAAAACGCAAAAAAATAAATTATTCAAACTGCATAAAATGTTGCTTAGAACTTTTTTTATTCAATTAGCTCTTCAGTTGTTATGGAAAGAAATAACAATTAAAAATAACTTAAGTAAAGTACCATGAAATGTATCCATATTATTAAAATGAATTGTATTATGGGCAGCATGGGGGATTGTGCGTATTTGTCTACTTAATAATTAGAAATCTGAAAAAAGTCCCCTCGAAATATTTGTGACAATTAATATAAATCATACACTTTCTCCAATTTCAATTTTGCAAATTTAACAAACAAACTAAAAAATTGGAAAAAAAATAATAATTTTGCAGACAATTATCAGACGGAAATTCTTTTTTTTTCAGGTGGTAAAAATTTTGAGAATTATTGTAATTGTGTTATTTTCAATTTCATATCCTTCAAAATTTAAACGTCTGAGACACACCAATGGAATTGTTCTTCTTATTAATTACAATCAGAAATAGCAAAAATGACAGATTATATTAATGAGAAACCATTGAATATAGATTACCTGATTGAAAACTACATTCGCTTCAAAAATATACAAATAAGATGGATAAAACAGGTGAGATGTTTCAAGCGCTTCAAAAATAGACACCTATTTTCCAGAGTTACCAGGCGTGAACAACCCTTCACTTCCAGCAAGTCTTGAAAAAGAGCGCCTACTTTTGAATAGCTTGATACCGTCGACTATTATTTCCTATTTGTATATTTTTGAAGCGGTTGAAAATTTTAATCAGGTAATATTTTACTTCCGCAGTTTATTGGGATTATTTATTTAAAATGGTAATATACAGTAGAGAACCATTTATCCGGTATCCAGATAACCGGGAAACCAGAAAACCGGGAAAAATTTTGCTCGATTTTCCCGCCATTTTAATCTAGAACGAAAAAAGCGGAAATTGGACTCCTCCTTGAAGTTGAGTAGAGGAAAAAATGTAAGGAAGGGGAAAAATTTTTTTCCCCGTTTTCCCAGAGAAACGTCATTTCCTCCGTGACCTTGAAGGCAGGGAAGGGAGAAATGCTTTATTTTTTTCTTTAGGCCGTCAATCAAACTCTAGGGTGTGGCATGCTGATTTCGTTTTCTGCCTGATTTACGAGGGGGGTGGGGAAAATGCATTGCAAGCATATCAGTGAACAGNCTATTATTTCCTATTTGTATATTTTTGAGGCGGTTGAAAATTTTAATCAGGTAACATTTTATTTCCGCAGTTTATTGGGATTATTTATTTAAAATTGCAATATATTTTTAAACAAAAAATTTAAAAGACAACTTACTTCAGATTTTAAAGTAGCTTTCAAAATAGCCCAGCTTGAGAGATTTAAGTTAATTTGAGATCGCTGCTTCACAACTTCAGTGGGGACACGCACAATGCAAGATGCCTGTATAATAAAATATCTCTCAATATAATTACAAAAAGATTAAAAATATAATTTTAAGCAGAGTTTATGCAAAATAATTAGCAACATTAAATATAGTTACAAAACTAGACATAAAATATATTTTCTTCGAAAAACTATTCCAACATGAATTTGATTTTTTACCCTTAAAATAAAAGCAAACATGAGAGAAAATGAAGAGGTATATTTTTGTCAACAGATACATTTTTACAATAGTTCAGTGATAATAGTACATTAAGACATAAATTATAGAAAAATATGAGGTAAGAATATGCATAGATTTTTTTGTAATGGTAGCAAGTTACTAATCGTTGTAATTTGCAAAATTCTCATTTTTCTAAATATTTTTCAGTAGATCATTAGAGATTATAATTTTTTTAATAATGTTTAGATATTACTCACTGCTGTTTATAAGATTTATATTATATCATAGTATATATATTTAACATATAATTATTTTTAATAAGTTAATTATCATCTTTACCAATATTATATGCTAATCAGTTAAAGTCTTCTTAATTGCATGGCAAGTGAGTTATCTAACAAATTAATCTGTCAGGCAACAGACATCAAACATCATGTTTGATGGGCAAATGCACCTCACTTCGTATTAACTAATGATACATTTTGTCAAATACTACTTCATGAAATAAAAAAAGTATATAACTTATATACATGTAATAATAGTTTACCAAAAGTTTTTTTGCTTTCAATAATTTACTGTAAGACAATAGAAGTAACATATCGCTAATAGATCAAAACATGTCAGAAAATAAAGCATTTAAAAAAAATATTAAAATGATTTTAGAATAATGAAATGATCCTCTAACAAACATAGTTTTTAATTGAGCAAGATTAAATTTTAACACAAAAATATTAATATAATTAAGAAATATTTAGATGGCAACACTAGCTTAGTTGGTAAGACTCAAATAGATGGGATACTAAAGAAAAATGTTAAAAAGAAATAAATGTAAATTTAAACACAGTTACAACATTTCTATAATTTAAAAAAAAAATGAATAAATATACAATAAAAAATATTAAAGCAACCTCATACCACTTCACCACAAGAGGCAGCAAACATATGCACAAAACTATTCTTACTACTTGCTCCTAAATGATGACATAAACATTTCATGGCATCATAGGTACAAAAGAAAACAGCAGCTGTAAAATAGTAAATTATGTAAACATTTTTTGCCAACAAATCTATGTTTAGTTATTATCGTGACAACAATAATTTCCTAGATGCAATTTAAAATTCATAAATATCACTATTTAATAAGAAATTGTAAAACTAGATACCACTGAACCTATAAAATAATCAAATATCACTTGTTATTAAATTAAGCACCGAAATTAATTGATACAGAAGAGAAAGATTCAATTTTGAAATAAATTACTACCGAGCTTTCAAATAATATTGCCAAACTACAAACATGATTATTATGTTTAATAAAAACATTTCAAGCAAGAAATTGTTAAAGTAAAAGTATATTATAACAAATCTATAATCGAGGTTTAATAAATATAAGAAAATTTAACAATGTAGTAGTAAAATTATTATAAGAAATAATTATAATACAGGGCTCGAAATTAATGATGGTTTGTTGGGAACAGTAAGAGATGCAACTCATCATGGTTAATGGAGTGTAAAGAGATTATATGCTAACTTGGTTTTATGCTTTGTTCTGTGCTTCTGACACAAAATAGTATACTTCATGACAATTGAGAAAAATACACATCTGCATATTGAATTTTGCTTGAACTTTACTTTTAATATTAAATCTAATGATCTACTTATGGTAAATATGTAACATTTAATCTATTTATTAAAATGCAATGACAAATTTTTGATTTATATAGCAGGGTGCATAGCCAAATTATTCAACAAAAAATAAGCACCTTTTAAGTACTTTTCGAGCACTCAAAAAATATTTTTAAGCACTTTAAAAAAAAAAGATAGTTAGGCAGGGTCAGAAAGTTTTTGACAAGTGACAGTTTTATCTCGTCTTAACTGTCACGTCAAAGAACCTTTTGGCACTGTTTTTGACAATGGTCAAAAATCAGGAAATTTTAAATCTTGTAAAGCGAATGACATTTTCATACGCTACGAACTGACAATACGCCGAAATAGATTAAGGTTAAATTAAGTGTTAAAACGTTGAATAGAATAATGTGAACTGTGTCTTTGTGCATAATTCGAAGTGAAAATCAACATAGTAAAGGAAAAATCCTATTTTGAAAGAGGGATAACTAAGCACTTTTTAAAAACACCCAATAAAAAAAGCACCCTTAAGGGCTTTTAAAAAATGAAAATAAGCACCTTTAAGCACTTTTTAAAAAACCTAAGCACTCTGTATAAAGTATCATTTACTTTTTTTAATTGGTTTACAAAAATTTTAATTCAATTCCTTTAATTTATTTTGTTTCATAAATATGCAACCATTTTTTATAATCTAATGACTTGGGAAAATGTCAAGGAACTAGTGAAATATTTTAGTTACTAGTTATTTAGATTAATGACTACATTTTCTTTATTTCTATTCTTGTAATAGATGTTAGATTAATTAACTTTGGACATCATTAGGTTACTCATTATTACTCCGAATTATAAAAACAAATTTCTTTAGACAAAGAATGCATAATAGTGGAAACTTCCAAATTAATGTACTTTGCATTTAATTATCACATCTGTTGACATGATCACATCAAAAATATTAATTCAAAAAACCCTTTAGATTAACTAACATCCTGGTGAAGATCCAACAGCAACTGAGCCGATTCCTGCATAAATGCCACGAAAACCACCAGACTTCCAAAAACCATTAGAGCTCTGTAGGCGCGTTTTAATTGTGTCTAGAGGATAAAGTGATAAATCTACAGATAAACCGGCCACTGCTCCAGCCTAAAAAAAACAGCAGACAATTATTGCTGATGAAATATGCAAGCCACTTTTTTTTAACAAATGAGATATATGCAATATGGCAACAAAAAAAGTATAGTATTGCATTTCAAGAGATGGTAAAAAAAATTTAAAACTACGATCTATTCTAATCATTTAAATGTGAGTTTAATTGGCATAAAAAAAAACTAAAACAAATATTTATATTGAAAGCTAATAAGAGAATCTAAGCTTAATCTAAACCATGGGGACATATCCCCATGGTTTAGATTAAGCTTTAAACCAGGTCCTAAAAAGTATGTGAAAAATGTTCTATTAATTTTGAGACAACCATTGATCTTTTCAGGAATAGAATTTTAGGAAAAATAAGTTAAAAATATATCTTTTATTTAAAGAACTCGTCACCTAATATAGGCATTTACTATGCTGTACTTAAGTAGCTAATTATAAGACCTCAATTGAGATCTTTTTTGTTGTTCATTTACATTGCACTAGAGCTGCACAATGGGCTATTGGCGACGGTCTGGGAAACATCCCTGAGGATGATCCGAAGACATGCCATCACAATTTAGATCCTCTGCAGAGGGGATGGCACCCCCGCTTCGGTAGCCCGACGACCTGCATGCGAAGTCGAACATTTTACGCTAGAACAGTTTAACGAGGACCAATACCGCACACCCTCAGTCCCTATGCAGGCTGATCCAAGTGGACACCCACCCGCACTCTGACCGTAGCCAGTGATGCTTGACTTCGGTGATCTGCTGGGAAAAGTGTCTTAACGATCAGTCCACTACGGGACTAATTGAGACCTATTTTTAACATTGCATCACTATTACAAATACATCAGTGTGTCCGAATGTATATCGGATAAACAAATATTTCTTATTAGATTGCCCTTAGATGCTATACATTATTTATTCATTAAAAATTTTAAAGAGCACGATTAGTCTATTCAAACTCTCTTACAAGACTGAAAGTCTTAAAACAAATAAACTAGATATTTACAGTAGTTAACTTAAATTTTCAGGAGTTTTTGAAATATTACTTCTATTTCATAATATAAAAATTGCTGTAATTAAATAAATGCTTTAAAAACTTGTTCATATTTTTTAAATGTCCCAAAACTATATTTTCTATTTCCTAATTTCTCAATATTCTTTCTTATGAAAGCATTCACGTGTTTCTTAAATTTTTGTTAAAAACACTTCCAAAAAATAGTACTTAATATTAACCATTAATGTAGAAACAAAAGGATGTCTCTGTTTTTTGGTTTGCATTTTGCTGAAAACTTCAATATTTTGAAGGGGGGAAAAGAAAGAAAAGCATAATAATTTTTATTAAAAAAATTATAGCATGTTTCATCACATCTTCGTATTCTGCCGAAAACAAAAGTAAATGTTTGTAAACAAGGCTAATATTTCCAAGTTGTTTCACTTCTCTTCACTAATTCAGTTTAACATATAATTTATATAAAAAAATTTTACTGGATTAGTTCATGCAGAAAACATTTATGTATTTACAACAGATATCTAAAACGCAAACCTTTTATATTCTTAATTATGTAAAAATTTCATTTTTGTAATGAATATTTTGTAAAATTAATTTGGCATCACTAAACATGCCGCTTTCTAAAAACCGGTAAGCTCTGGTTTTTAGCGTTCCCGCCATTGTACAGTAACAAATTTGAGAAAGCGAATTATATTTCCTAAAATTTTAGTACAAAGTTTAATTTATTTTATTTCAAAAGTTTATCTTAGTTGAATAGTTTTATTTCCCTCGCAAATATGCGTACTAAAAAAGGTGCTCGTAGTAAACTGGGCAAAGCATCAGAAGCCGAAGCTGAGAAAGATGTCAACCAAAAAGAAGCTCTCTCCGATGTTGAAGATGATGTCAATTCTGGATCAGATACGAATGAGAAGAAAAAGAAAGTCTCTAATGATGTAGCTAAGGATGAAAAAAATGTGAAATCTGAAAGTGATGAAGAATCAGCTGATGAAAAGAAAGCAAAGAAGCCTGAAACCAAAGCGAATGCCAAGAGAGGTCGTCAAAAGAAGAGTGCAAAAGCTGAGGAAGTTTCGGAGGATGAGGATTCTGACAAAGAGGATGAAGGTAAGGCAGCAAAGAAGCCTAAGAAAGAATCTGAGGATGAAGAAGTGGATTCAGAGGAAGATGCCAAACCTAAGAAGGGTAAAAAACAAGCTAAACCCAAGAAGAAGGCTGCAGAACCACCCAAATCTCCTGTTCGTCGCGGAGGACGAGTTAAGAAAGCCGTCAAATACACCGATGATACCTCTGACGAAGATGAAAAAAAGAAAGGCAAGCGGGGTCGTAAAGCTAAAGATACTGATTCGGAAGATTTTGAAGAAGATTCTGAGCCTGAAGTTAAGAAAGTGAGTAAGCCAAAGCGGAAAGCTAAGGAACCTGTCAAGTCCAAAGCCGCCAAATCAAAAAAACCTCCCAAGTCTCCTGTGAGGCAGAGTGGTCGACAAAAGTCAGCAACCAAATATGCCGAAGACTCCGATTCTGAAGTCATGGAAGTGTCAGATTCTGAGAAAGAAGTGAAGAAGTTGCCTCCAAAGAAGGCTGCCCAGAATGGAGTGAAAGAAAAATCGTCCAAACCACCGAAGAAGAAGCAGGCCTCTGAATCAGAGGAGGAAGAAGATGATGATGAAGAGGAAGAAGAAACTAGTAGCAAGAAGGTGAAGGATTCTGAGGATGACATGAAAGATTGCAGTGTTGTCTTGCAGCATTGCAATTCCTGACAAGTTTATCGTCGCAATGCTGTAGCTTTAAAAGAGGCTTTGTGTAAAGTTTTTGTAAATCTGGATGTAAAGATAAATCCGGAAAAGCCTCTTCGTGGTAGTTTTGAATGTGTTTTAATAAAAGGAAAGGACCAAATTACATTGTGGAGTGGTTTAAAATTGGGTCCTCCTCGAAAACTTAAGTTTCCCGATCATGAAGAAATTATCAAGCGTCTGAGTGCTAAGATATAATTTTATCTTTACTGTTCATTTTATTTAGTCGTTCGATGACAATTTGTGTTTTTACTCTCATTTTTTCAATATATGTAAAAGCTTGATTTTAATGTGTTTAAGGAAGCCTTTATTCAGTATTCATAAATGTTAAAAATGAAAAATGTACAGCTAAATGTGATAAAGATGGTTGTGAGAAAGCCAGATCAACTGGCTTGTATTTAAAGACCCGACTCTAATTTAAACTGTTCTTTTAAATATATGCAGTGTTAACGAAATGGTAAACAATAACTATTGGCATTGCATTTTTTTATGATTTGTTGACAAATATTGCAGAGAGATAAAGAAATCTTTTAAATCCCACATATTTAATCTATTACCGGTCCTATTAACACATAATTTTTTTTCCTCATTAATATAAATATGTTTATTTTAGGCCTAAAAAGATCTATTTTGTGATTTTAAAAAGGATCATTATATCAAAATTTTTCAAATGTACAAATAAAGCATGTAGCTCTTTATTTTGAAAGTGCAATAATTAGATTAAAATAGTTACACTATTCATCTTAACTATCCAAATTTAAGCTTAGTTAATTTTAACTTTACCAAATAACATATTTATCTTCACATCATAAAGAAACTATGCTTTACATTAGAAATCAACCTTTTGTGTAATTTGTTGAATAAGGATAAGCGCATTTTAAACTTTTGAAATTATAGTGATGTATGCTGTAAAATTTGTGCTACGTTAGGGCTATATACCTAACTTTCTATTATAGTTCCTTCATATTAGTAAGATTTATTTCAAATCATCTGAACTTTAAAGTTGAATTTTAATCATAGTCACATTTTTAAACACGGTTTTACCAGTTTCAGACCATAAAGATGTTAATTGATTTATTTTTACTAAATATTTTTTATATTTGTACTTATTTTTAGTGTATCTATTACTTTCTATTGTCTACTTTAGTATTTAGTATGTATTTGTTTACCTGAAGGAATTATGATTGGGAGTTGACAAATTGTTTTCGCCTCTCTCTTGATGTTACACTGAATGGTGAATTATTATTTATGTAATACTATTGTGGATATAGATAATTAAGATTGTGAACATATCTGTGTATTTTCATAATGTCATTTGAAGAAGGTTCATTTTAAGTCAATAAACTAGCATTTGCTTTACGCTCTCCGAATATTTCTTTTGAATATTTGCAAACTTATAATTATATCAACTATTTTAAAAATTCAGTTTACACTTATACCTTACAAATTATGCTTACAGCTATTTCAAAACTAATTCTGCAACATCATATGCAGAGCATTTGTTTTCATTATTTATAATATCTAAGAAAAGAAAGATCTGCTTTTTTTTTATATATATAAACACTTGATTTGAGATAAATAACGATTGTTGATTGGTTTAAACTGATAGGTTTAATTTTATATTAATAGTTTTAGTTTGAATCGAACCAATCTATTTTTATCTAAATAAATATATAATTTTTAAATGTTTAGATATAACATTCTTTTAAATATGTTTAAATAAATTGATGAGTGTGAAAATGTTCTAAGAAGGCTTAATTTAACAAACAGCATCACCAGATTAATTTTCTAATCACTTAAGATAAGTTGACATTCAGTTATATAATGTAATTATTGATCACGTTAAAATAAAAAGTTATGTTCTTTTTATGAATTTTTTTTTTTAATATTTTCAAAATAAAATTTTCATATTTTATAATCAGGGTTGGGGTTTTGGACCTCCTAAACTGGTTTTGGACAGGACACGTTGGTTTTACTGTCTTAAAGTGTCCAAAACCTTGAACTTTGGTAAAAGGAAAAATTCTATAGGTGTAACCATTGTACACATAATAATTACATGTATCAATAAATATTTGATATTTTTTATACAATTTACTATAACTTATTAAAAGAAAATAATATAATATAATAGGAAAAGGTTTATAATTTTTGAAGCTCCACAATTCATTGAACAACAAAAGTGAATACCTAATCCTTTAAATATAAATATGCTTTTAATACTGATAAATAATATTTTTGCATAAGGATAAATATGGCAATATTAAAAAATAAGAATTTTTCTTTAAAAAAAATACTAAAATTATTCAAAAATTATCCTTTTATTTCTCACAATTTTTTTTCTTTCTAAATTTTATAATCTGCATCACAGGATGATAAAAAAGACATCTTTTTTAAAAAAAATTGTTTTTAAATATAAATATATTAGTTTAAATTGAAAATACAAAATAACTGAAAAATGTATTCACAGTTTTGAAGGGCATAACATCAGTTTCAGTTACTGACACTGGTGATGTATCACCACTATGCTAAAAGAATTGAACATGAATGAAATAAAAGTATTCTTGAATAGTACAATAGATAAATAAACCTGTTTATGACAAACCAAGCACTTAGTCCCTAATATTTTAACCTGTATGGCAAGGCCAAACTTCAGTTATGTACTATTGAATGAGAGGACCAATTGAACTTGATTACTGATTAATCTTCCTTTGTTTAAATTGAAGAGTCAAACAATATTAATAAAACATTATACTTTTAAAAACAAATATTCTCTGGTATATTTAATTATCAATATGTTATTAGTTCTATGTTTATTTTACCTCTTGAATATTGTTCAGATAAAATTGTGACATAATTAGAGTAAAGGGGTTTTGGACAGGACGGTTTAAGCCATGGATTAAACCATTCTGTCCTAAACCTTGCCAACCCTGTTTATAATAGTTCTAACAAAAATATTCAGAATGTTTTAAATCACTTAGATTTTTTTTTTTTAAATATTATTAAAAGTCTAATTTCAGTGATAATGATGGTATTTTACTAAGAAATGAAAGGGATATGCAAGTAAATTATTAAATTTCTAAATAAATGAAACACAAAGTATGTAGGCAAGAGTGGCATTAATCTCTTATATTATAATTTTCCATTAAATGTATGTAAAATAGCTTGCAGCCAGAAAGCATATTTACCTTAGTCCAAAGTAACTTGTAAATTTTTTTTTACTGCAATGTTTTCTGATCTAAACTAATTTGATCTTCATTAGATATCAAACAAATAGTATCCCAATTATTAGTAAGTGGAACTTGAAAAGTGTAATTAAGATTTTATTTATTCAATGATTACTTTTTAATTTAATAGTAATTTTAACCATTTGAGTAGGAAATATTAACTAATTTAGCTGTAATAATGTTGAGTATTGAAAAAAAAAATCATAATTTTTGCCAATCCTGGAATTCAACTAATTTATTGTTGCATTATGTTAATAACCAAATTGCAGGCCTTGTAGAAAAACCAGAACATTTATTGGTACAGTATACATGTGTGCTGAAGAAGAAATCGAGCAAATTTTTTGGCGCATTATACATGTGGGTTAAAGAAAAGAAACCTGCACATTTTTTATACAGTATACATGTACTAATTTACTTTAAAAGAAAACAGACAGCAAAATAATATATATGTATATTTGATTCCAAAGTTACTTTTCTAAAAAAAAAAGTTTTGACCATTTTTCCAGTAGAATTCTGTTAATAAGCAATTCATAGCAGTTTGAGTATCAGTTATTAGGAAATTTTATTGGTTGGTACTGTTGCATTAAAAATAATCAGTATCAATTATTTATTATTCTTTCATACCAATATTTATTAAAAAAGTTGCAATTAAGTTCATTAATTTTTCAATCGTGGTGTGTAGCCTTTTTAAAAAGTGCTTATTTTTGTTTTTTAAAAGCCTTTGAAGATACTTTTTTTTTTATTGGGTGTGTTTAAAAAGTGCTTAATTTTCCTTTTTCAAAATTGAGGGTTTCTTTCTTCACCATGTGGATTTTCGCCACATATTATTCAAAAGCTATTTAACATTTTCACAATTCCTTGTAACATGATGTATTCCGTTCGACTGTAGCATATTAAAGCACCAATCATTTTACATGTTTGATGTGGCGGTCCACATGTACGTATACTGAGCAGGGTTTGGTGAGATTCTTGCTCTCTCTGCTGCATTTTGCAAGAAATTCTCAATTTCCTTCTTCATTTTCCACCCTTCAGAAATTGAACCGAAAAATCACTCTATCTTTTTATGGTGGCTAATATAATTAAGAAAATAATTTTGTCAGAAACTAGTTATTTTATCATGATCATGTAAAGTCTTAAAAAATTATTTTGCTAATGTATATAGTGCTTATAAATATTTTTTTAGTGCTTAAAAGGTGCTTTTTTTTAAAAAAGATTTGAGTACGCACCCTGTCAAAAAATTGCTTTAAAGTGGGATTTCAATAATTTTGAAAAGAAATCACTGTAATTATGCATTTTAGCATTTGTATTCGAAAGAAATTTTATTTATGAACTATTAATTCAAACAAAGATATTAAATGGAAAATCCAAATCTTTCGATTATTCAAGCTGATTATTTTAGGAACTACATTAGTATTCATAGAAAATGAGATGTTCTTGACACATACAAATCAGAAATATCCGGGCAAGAAGCTAAAAATAAAGGTCAAATTACAATGAAATATTTTTCATCAGGAAAATAAGAAATTTCAAGACAGCTACACCCTCTGATATTATTAAACTTAAGCGTCTATTTTGTTAAAATAAATCAAAGTAGTTTATACTTCATTTGTTATTAAACCATTGGTATTAAGACTTTTACATGCAATCTGTCATTTCTGCATCTTTTCATCAATTTATTATTAAGCAATTATTAATATAAAATATGTGATATATTACCTTAAATATGTTAAAATTTGTATTGATTCAATGGATTTAAGAAATGTATGTTTCATAAAATGTAATTAAATACTATTATAAATTATATACAACTAAATAATGATATTAATTAAATAATACTAGCATTTTTATATTACACACAAGCAAGGACGGATCACTCTTTTAACTTACATTACTAAAATAAAATTTAAATGTTGAGTGCTTATTGTATGTTAAATTTAGTTCTAAAGTATCATAAAAGCATACTTATTGTATTTAGTTCCTCTTCTTTTTTTTATTATTTTGTTAATGTATTTAAAAAAAAAAAGAGAGGATATTTTTGAATTGTTAAATGAAAACATTAATTACTAGTTAAAAGCCAAATTCCGCGGAATGGTTTGGTTAATTTCAATTACGGGCTTAAAATATTTTTCCACATTTTTTTTTTATAGAAAAAACTCAGTTTTTTCCAAGCCTGTTAAATAAGTTTTGATTTGTAATGATATATGTTTTATAACAATGTACTGACTGTTGTATTTTATAATTCTCTTTCACTATTATAAAAAAATCAGTTAAAATGAAGAATATGCTGCAATTGACGCTAAATATTTGAACCAGGTTTAAAAATAACCTTTAGTTTTTGTTACTAATTAGATTAATATTTGCCAACTATTTTATGAATTTTTAATTTATGGAAAAAATTATGCCACAGGGAACAGAGAAACTGAAATGTTCAATAGTTCTGCAGTCTTGACTGTCAACTATCAAATTCAAAGCTTGCTCCATTTTCTGCGTGTCAGAATTCTTAACTTTTATCCCTAGGCTGGATTTTATTTTTGATATCAAAATGAAAAGCATTAAGAATTGGATGGAAAACTGGTTAAAAAGTTATGCTAAAAGTCAATGTATGTGGTGTTTTTTTTTTCAGTATTCTATTTAAAATACTGTTGTATATAAATATCAAAGTTCATAGTTATCATGATTTTCTTGATAAAAAATATTTTGGCTTGATTCTTGATCGACCAAAATAGGTGACTATTCAACACCTGTTATAAAATAAAATATAATAAATCGTGAGAAATACGACTCAATTAAAATTTATGACTGGACCGACTTAGTATTTTGCTGTTTAAAATTACAGATTGAATTGGCGTAAAAATTTCAATTACAATTCAAAATTAATAAATTGAAAAAAATATTTTTTACGTGGAATTATCTTTAAATAAGCTAATTTTATAATTGCGTACAAAAATGTTTTGATTCATTAACAAAAATTTACGAGATCGTGAAGTGTATATTCGGAGAAAGTACATTTTTTTCAGTTGAATTATTTTTGATGTGGGTGTTTTCAGGTGTTGTTGTTGTAGTTCATTTACGTCGCCCTAGAGCTGCACAATGGGCTATTGACGACGGTCTGGGAAACATCCCTGAGGATGATCC